TTCTCTGTCTTCATTAATCAGAACAGCGTGGATCAGGTTCGATTTTTTAGGGTAGACAAGAATCTGATCCTTGGTATCCATTTCAGACTACAATAGGCCACTTGCACTAAGAGGACACGTGACCAAACAATGAGTTGGTATCTTGCTGATACCAAAAATTGACAGAGCACATAAAAATTATCTTACAGCCGAAATGTGAGAGGAAACGCTTTTAAGGGAGATATTTTATGGCACTTTGATTTTTCAACAAAGTAGTATGATTTGTATTGGCCGCCACGTTGGAGGGCATACTCTTGCCCTCCAACATGGCGGCCACCGAAAAAACGTTTGATAGTGAGGCTCAGATGTGCTGTAAACGTTACCTCTTCGTCTTTTCAACATTTTCCTTGAAGTTTAAGTGCAAAATTTGTTTTCAGAAAGAAGTAATTCATAATTTTAAAAATCACATTTTGGTCACGTGACCAGCTACGAACTTACCCATTTTAAGAAAATGGTGCGGGTTTGAAAAACCAAATGACTATTATTTTGTTTAAGATATGACCCACTAATCGTTTTTCGAAGGCAAAATCATATAAATTTCATGAGTCACATGACCTCTTAGTGCAAATGGCCTATTTAATCTGTGTTGAAGCTGATTGGACAGGATGTGTTTGATCAAACACACAGACACATGATGAATTTTGGCCATGGTATCATAGGTGACGAATTACTCCTTAATTTTGGCGCGAAATTTCAGCGTTAATTTGTAATTTCACAAGTGAAATTACTAAATTCCCATGACAACCTGCCGTACGGCTCAGTGTCAAGATGGCGACGAAGTTTTAAAATGTCATGAATGAAGATGTCAGGGTATAAAAATACGCTTTAGAAAACCTGAACACACGAAAGAGCACATCAAGAAGGATTCTTAGAGGTATGTTGTCGAAAAATTCTGAAAACTTAATCCAAATTTCAGCTCTAAACGTTTGAGAGAGTGGAATCACGATCGATCGATACGATCCAGCATAAATAAGTCAAAAATCCTCGATTGCTAACGTAATTCGTCACTCATGATATTAATTGGTAATCAAATGGTATACTCGTGAAATTAGGGAATAATTTCACTTGCGTTTTGTCCTAGCCTAAAGGCTCGGGAAATTTTTAGGCTTTGGACAAAACGCGATTGAAATTATTCCCTAATTTCACGCGTCACCATTTGATTACACATACTTATCCACTTTAGCCTCCGGAGTACCGTCAGGGTTATAGTACGGAAACCGCTTTCACTGAAGGTCCAAAATGACATACCCTTTATTATGCACGAGAAAAGTGTCACCGTGCTCGTTTTCCTCGAACGAAGGTGGCTCTATAGGGTTTTTCGGGGTCAATACCTTCGAAGTTTGAGCATAAACTACGTCGCCATTAACAAAGAATTGGAAAAATTATTACCACAGCTGTATTAGATAACATCGAAAATTTGTTAAGATCAGGGTTACAATGACATTAGAGTTGTCATAGCAACAAAATGACGCCATTACTTATTTTACTTGCAGCCGGAGTATTTCCTGGCACTGGGAATCGTTCACGGGAGCTTGTTTCCTCTGAAAAATTTTCGCTTTGTTTTCTATAGATATTCGGCCGAACATTAACTTTGTCCAGTTTTTTACTTATTTCTAACCATGCTAAACGCTGTTTTGAATCCGTTAGCTATAAGATCCTGTCAGAATTCTCGGTTTGCGCTGTCACGCAATGAAAAATAAAAATGCAAGCCATTCAATACAGAACGTCTAGAATCTAAGAAATGAAAGAAGATAAATATACAAAACGTCTTGCCAAAAATCAGGTCTTTGCAATATTTCAAATGAGAGATATTCGAAAAAACGATTTACCTAGACTGGTAAATTTATAAAGCTTTGTATGGGACACCAATATGGCCGCCGGATACCAACGGAAACATCTGTTTTCGAGTTTTCCTACTAATGCGTGAATTCTTCGCTTGAGGAACTCATAAAGATAATAAAGTCATAAAGCTATATTTATTTTGAGACAAGGAATGTTTAGATAGCAAAATCGGTAATGTTTTTAACCCACATAAGAGCTCTCCTGGCCGTCAGCTAAACTGAATGCCGCGTCACGCAAAAGCCTGGAACTTCAAGCGTCCTTTCTCGCAAAACGAAGGACCCTTTGGAACCAAAAATTTTCTTATCAAAGATGTTTAGGTGCTGTAATACCTCGTGAAAGTAGAAACTCGGAAGAATCGATAGTTTCTTAGTTTGATATTTATTGACGTGACGTGCAAACCAAGAATAAATCAAAGCGTAAATATAAATAGTAAATAAATAAAAATATAATAAAAGAATACAACCCCTAAATAGAGAATTGACAGTCAAGTTATAATTAGGTAAATTCAGAAACAAATATTTTGCTCAGTAAAATAGAAGTCACGCGAGAATAGTTCGCGAAAGGACACGCTCGCTATTAATTTATGAAGATGTGTTTTTTAAATTTGTTCACCGTAAGTCTTCATATCGCAATGAGCGAGCACAGTACGACCAGGTTTAATGGTACTCAGCCAGTACTTCTTGCTCTCTGCCTGCCCTTCACTTGCTTTGATTTCTTTGCATGTTTCAGCTGGAAGCTCAGGAGTAGATCCAAGAGGAGCTAAAGAGAAAATGTTTTATTAATTATCTAATATCATAGGTGACGAATTACTCCTTAATTCTGGCACGAAATTTCAGCGTTAATTTGTAATTTCACATGTGAAATTACAAAATTTCCGTACGTCCCAGTGTCAAAATGGCGACGAAGTTTTAAAATGCCGTGAATGAAGATGTCAGGGCACAAAAAGACGTTTTAGAAAACCTGAACACACAAGAGAACATCAAGAAGGACTCTAACAGGTATTTTGCCGAGAAAGTCTGAAAAATTCTTAACTTTACAAGCCAAGTTTAAGGTCTAAGCATTTGAGAGAGTGGAGTTCTCGATCGGTACGATCCAGGATAAACATGTCAAAAATCCAAGATGGCTAACGTAATTCGTCACCCATGATATTAATAGGTAATCAAATGGTATACTCGTGAAATTAGGGAATAATTTCATGCATGTTTTGTCCAAATTCTAATAATTTCCCTCTCCTAAAGGCTCGGGAAATTATTAGAATTTGGACAAAACATGCATGAAATTATTCCCTAATTTCACTCGTCACCATTTGATTACACATACTTATCTAATGGTTATTCTGAAATTAAATTGTCAGCATCGAATCGATAATCACTGATAAAAACTTTGAGACATCAATAACATGCACGTTTGGTGAAGTTTTTTCAAAGAATTCTATAGCGCCCTTCCTCAAATTTATTTAATAAAAATGCACAAACGATCTTGAAAATAATCAGTAATTAGCGACCAGTTGCATCTATTCGCCCGAGCAAATTTTTTTGACCAAGTTATCCGGCGATGCACGCAGGGTAAACGAAAATTGTCGGCTATCTAGACGACCATTGAACGAAGAAACTGGTCCGTTCGAGGAAACTGAACTTGTTCTTAGGGCTTGGAGAGGTAATTCTAATACACAGATTTAGCCAAGGCAAAAAACGAAGGTCTCGTAAATAAAGTTATGATTTACTCAAACGGAAAAAAAAGTAATAAAATAAAGAAATATACTTGAAACCACTGTGAAGAAATTTTTCAATTCTATGCTTAACATTTGATACAGTGGAAGGACTGGGTGATTTACGGGAAAAATAATCTGCAAGCAAACCTTGAGCCATTGTTACTTAAACTATTAAAATGTCAAGCGTGTGAAATGTTATTGCGTATTTATCAAAAATCACATAATGCTAAACGGCGACGACAACGAGAACAGCAGAAAATTAATTGGATTTAGTAGCAAAACAACAACTTTGCACGTGCAGCATAATTACTTTCTTCTACATTTCTTTGCCGTTGTTACACGTTTCATGGAGGAAATGTCGTATGTGTTCACAAATAATTTTCTTCTTAATTTTCTTTTTTCTTCACTGCTGTTCATTTTCACCTTACTGGTCGCTAGCATCTCTCATTTTCTCACCGCCACTACATAATTTTCATGTTGTTCTTTCAACGAAATCCGTCTTCTTTGTTTTTTATCTCTTATCTCGCTCTAGCTCTTTCTCTGTTATCCGCATCAGTGTAGACATAATTAAGATTTAGTCGGAAAAAAAAGGACTCGGCTTAAGTTTGTTGTCGTTTCTCTCTAACAGTCCGGGTGGCCATGTGATTTACCGCCAAAACGCGCGCATGCTTGAATGCAAACTTCATCCCGGCTTACGTGTCGGGGGTGGACAGACGTGTTTTCACGCGTTTACCACTGATTTCTCGCATCTATGGGTTACCATTTTTTCTTACGCATGGTGCTCCGCTATAAAAACAATGAATGATCATAAAGACGAAGTAGACCGGAGTATCTTATCGCGGGACAGCAGCAGTGGCACCGATTTTTAACAAAATAGAAAACTACAAAACAATGAGGAGAAGTTTTAATACTGCTTTTCCCGGCACGACTAAAAGTATAAAAGTATAACACACAAATTTTTCTTTTAAAATAACCTGCCAAATAAGGTTGTTTCTTGGTGTTGCGGATTGGTGCAATCACTTAATGACGTAATACTATCATACAAACGAATGATTAGACACTACCCACAGAAGCGATCCAACAATGGTTTCCGAGACACTGAAGAAACACCAGATAATAAGGATGGCGATCATTAATTTTCATTACAAGGTCTCAATCGCGCAAAATGTTGTCATTTTCAAGTTATTTTATGGCTGGACATGAAAGTTTCGCGCATACATAGTACCTCTTTCTTAAAGCTCACAGCCTTTTTTGTCGGGTGTTATTGATCAGTTAAGTGGTCAATTTTTCTAATAAATTAACGTAAATATTTCCTGGAAATGATGACTGAAATTTAGATGTCTCCGGGCATGAAGCCACGAAAAGTGCACTGAGGCCCCTTAAAAAATTCTTTCAATACTGAGAGATCTTAACTAACATAAACTTTACCTCGATTCATGTCTCGCCTGTAGTAATATCTGTCTGGATCGGGAACAAAATCCTCAGGTCTGGCTTCTTTGGTTCTGTTGCTGAACTCACACATGTTAAGAGAGATCACCCAATTGAAACTTTGGCACCTGCTGTCCTGACGACAAATAAGTACGCACTCATATCCAAAGTTTGCCTTTAGCGTCTTGTAGACGTGGTTTTGCAGCTTCCAACCAAAGATGGATTCCTCTGACCCACCATTGATGCATTGTTGACAGAGTGTTTCAGTGAATATTTGAATCAGCATAAAAAGGAATGCGATACTAATGGTGTAACTCGCCGTCATTTTGACAGAACTGAAAAAAATGTCGTGCATACATACTAGTAGAAACTACATTCTTAGAAAGTAATTAATTATAGTAAGTAAGACTTATTTTAAGTAACCTAAGGACAAGGCTGGGGCCGTGGCTTTCCCTTGTGTTAATAAATGATTTAAATTTTAGCGATACCTTAAATTCCCAGTCATACCATGGTAATATGTAGATGATACGAAGACTAAGGTAACGATAGCAACGCACATTATACAATGGAGTGAATGCTACGCTCGCTGTGATTGGTCGTTGCCTATGATCTATTGGAGTACAGTTACATGGATGAAGTCACGGGAAACTTGTTTTCTTTTAGTTTTGCTCAACACAGCGCGCTGTTTTGAAAATGTTTGTGACATTATTTCGGATTGAAGCAAGTGAAAGCTTCGAAAAAACTTAGCAAGAGCCATTTACAAAGAAGAAATATGGAGAAACGGAGAGAAAAAGAGCTCCTCACAACTTAAGAATGCCTAAAAGCATCTCATTCAGTGATCATGCGGCTCGTTAGCCACTTTTTAGTTTTTCTCACATTTTGACGTCATCTGTGATCTATTACTGAACAGACCCATGGCAATATGGAATCTATTTGTGTGCTGCGCTTTTCACAAACATGCGAACTCTAAAGTTCAAAAGCCGCCTTCACAATTGCGTTTTTCGCTGCCGTCAATCATAATTACGATCACAATCAACGAACCTTGAAACACAGAAACACACAAAACGGATTGAAATCCACCAATCACAAATCACAAACCATGACCTTTTCAACCCGTTAAAGTAAAGTTTTGTTTCCTAAGAGGTCCGTTAAGATGATTGACGGCAGCGAAAAACGTAGTCGTCAGTCGGCTTTTGAACTTTAGAATTCGCATGTTTGTGAAAAGCGCAGTAACAATACTCGTCAAATTTCGTTGAACACTAGATTGAAACTGGGGTCTTTTTCATGTCACGCCTCCTCAACTAACTTACCCAACTTTTTCCCGTTTGCACTTCTTCTCTCCTTCCCCAATGCTTTATTTGCAAATGAGGGATAAGTGAATCGACATTGGAGAGGGATTAACGTGACAAGTGTTGCAACAAATGTGACGAGTATTGTCAGTAGCCATTTTCCCTTTCATTGATGATTATTTTTGGGCTTTTGGTCCAAACCTAAGCAAAGGAAGACTAATCAGATTTACGCGATTCGTTTTATTTCAGTAGTTATGCAAGCTTGTTTGACCATGACTGCTAACTTCGTCCTTATTTCCTGGTCTTCCAGATCAGACGAATTTATGAAGCCTCTTTTAACAATACTTTCACTTGGTGCTACATACTTTAATATGCAGTTCTAACGTTTGGAGTCAGTGTGAATGCAATCAGCTGAAATCCAATTGATGACTATACAAATGAAACAGTTTTTTAGTAGGAATTCCACACGGTTCTTTCTATCAGTTTCGTATAAGTTTCTAACTTTTGTGCTCGCTCCTCAGTTATTTCAGATTTTTTGCACTACCGTACTATTTAAGCAGAATTTTCTAGAAAGGTAATGTATCAAAGAAAGCCTCCACTAAAGATTGATTTTATGAACTGACCAGGGAATTAGCTGATTTTCCAAACTGGATTGCTGGGCTGGCAGCATCGATCTCACCATTTGGAACAAATTTAGTGGCCACTTAATTATTGTATGAAGCCACGTAAGATTTCTTCAAGTCTTTCTGCTTTTAGTTTGGCGTTGTTTAACTTGTTAATGCACGCAGCATCAATTATTCAAAACCTTTCTCTAAAATTTACTACTGCGAGTCATTAAAGCTTCTGCACTACAAAGATTGAATTTCCCCTTTCGTTTGTTGCATCGTTTTTGCAGTCATAAAAAGTTAAGCAAAAAGACAAGTGGAAAAAGGGTTTAAGAAAAAAATAAGGAGGGAGAGAAAATCAAGTTGAGCTAGAGGCTTTCATGTCATTTTAAAGATATTAACATTTAAGAATTTTAGCGTTAAATACGTGCAATATCTCTTTTAGTATTGCAATTTCTAAAAAGTTCAAATTAAAATGTTCAAGTTCTTTAGCTGGACACGATAGATGTCCATCTTTACCTCATGAATTAGCCATTTCAAAGAAATATAATTATGTTTATATATTTTGGCAATTTTCGTCACATAAACCTCATCATGGTTCACATATAACCGCTTTTTGTTCTTAACTGGAGGGTTTCGGTGGATGTGCTCAGCGTGAACATTTTGGGCTCTGCGATTTAGAAAACCAAATTGATAGTTGTCGTCCTTAAACAGTATGGTTTACTCTCAAACTAGGTATACAAGCATAAAAAGTCTAATTCATGAAAAAATATTCTCAGAGGGTAGAGGAATATTTGGATATGTAGTCTACCTTAGTGATTTTTGGATATCACTTACCTGGTGTTTTTAGGCAGCATGCACCATAAAGGATCTCTCTTCCTAAGGATGTGGCCGAAACTCGCCTCCTTTTACGCAGTTGGCCTGGTGACTTTACGGTTTGTAAGGGTTTTGATAGCGCAACTTTTTTGCAGCTTATTTCCCTTTCTCTCATCAAACTAATCGTGACTGAGGATTCTTGAAAATGTTATTTGAAACCTGAACCAAAATACTACTTAGCACGCTTGTAGTTCACTTTATGCAACTCAATATCGGGTGTTAATTAGTTTAATGCAGTTGCTGCCTCAAAATTTTAAGAAAAATAAATATTTACTCTTGCAAACGGGTCCTTGTTCAAATATAATTATAAGTTCTAATTTAGCACTTCAGAAAGTATAAAAAATGGAAGGCGGGCTATGAAACAGTTCAGCTAAGCCGCAAGTAGGTGGATCATCTCATGTTTAATTTGTTTGACATTTTCAGATTAATATTGTGGCAGATCTAACAAAAGACTATGTTTGTGGTTGCTGCAGTTTTGAAAAATATTGAAAGTGAAATCCCTTGCCATATTACGTTTTTGAGAAGGAAGTAAAGGGATGAATGAATTAATCTTATTATACTACTGCATGAGAAATTACTGCAATTTGATTGGCTTAGAGCAGTGGTATTTCAGCTTAATTTGAAATACCTACATGTGAAAATTACAAACCTGTTGTGGGTAGTAGTGTAAACAAATAATTGCATGACTTGTACGTGATATTTGGCATAAATACCACTAGTGATATTTCAAAATTGTCTCAAATTTCACTCGCCCAACGGCTTGTGAAATTACGTATAACAATTTCGAAATATCACTCGTGGTATTTATGCCAAATATCACTACAAATCATGCTATTACCTATACAAACTGAATTAACTAATTATAAGTTACTCATCTCCCTGGTATGTGGTCGAACGAGTTGTATGCTATAATGGCTATAATTTCAAGTTCTACAAAGAAATGAAAGGCCAATAATTGACATTTTATGATCCTTGTTTTCTCGGTCCGTTTTGTAATTGAATTTAGAGATCCTGTTTTCACCTTCCCCCAAATGAACTGAAATGTCCTTTTTACCAAAAACCTCTGTTTTGCAGATATACAATTCACTACTAACGGATATTTGTACACTCTTTACAGGTGTAACATTTTAAAACTTTGTCGCCATCTTGACACTGAGAGGTACGGAAGGTTGCCATGGCATGGCAATTTTGTAATTTCACATGAGAAATTACAATTTATCGCTGAAATTTCGCGCCAAAATTAAGGAGTAATTCGTCACCTATGATATTATTTATATAACACTCTTCACCAGCCTTAACGAAAGACCTCTTCAGTTGCGTTAATTGTGCGAGATGACGAGCGGTATGCGAAAGGAGAAGCGAAAACGAGGGATGAGGAAAAGTATGGAAAGATAGAGCGATTTTGTTGCTCGCCCTGTTTTCTTTCTCGGAGCCAAGGACGTTAAGCTTTGTATGTAAATTTACAGAAAATGTTTATGGCAGGAAGGTTATTTTTTCAGCCAAATGGTGTTTCGTTTCGCCCAGTTGAACCAGAAATGAAAACCCTGTAGAGGCAATTGCGACCTCTCTTTTTCCCTGCCCCTAGCCGCTCGCTTTGGCGTTCCGTTGCGGGGCTCTCTTCCCTCCCAATTTGGAATGGAGAACTTGCTCGCAGGCATAACTTTCTTCGCTATCAATACAAGCACTTCGGTAGTATGGGAACTGGGTAATTTTGAGCCCATAGTACTGAAAAAAAGTGGTGTGAGTTTAAAATGGCCCTCAGTCTTTTTTGCTGTATTTCTTTGAAATCGTCCTTTCCACGACATTGTTTTCCATTTCCTGTATATCCAGCTTTACATAAACACGTGTGAGAGCCCACGGTATTTTGACAAACAGCATTGACGTCACAGTTATCAGAATTAGCTGTTCACTCATTTACATCTGAAAATAAATAAAAGAGGGATGAGAAACATAAAAATGTTTTATTTTCTTCGGCAAAACTTTTTTATGTTCCCTCTGTTAAGCATGTTTATACTGAGCATGATTTTCGGCAAGCGAAATTCGCTGAGGGCTGAAGTATGCCGTTAACATCAACGTTGACAGAGTTAACTCCTTCCGCATTTGGCCTTAAAAAGTTAGCACGAAATCATACTATTCATGTTGTTCTTGTAGAAGACGTAAGTGTAATAACTGGACCCAAGGGTAATAAAGATACCATCTGTAATAACATTTGGACTCAATTAATAGACGCGACGCGACGCGACGCTCATTGAGCTATGACGACCTTTTCATCATAACGTTATCGTTTTTAACGCGATGGCTCGGAAACTTTGCAAAAAATCACCGATATCCTTTTGCAATGATTTGAAATACTTCGATCTCATTGCTGGTAAATATTTTTTTGCGAAATAAGCGCATAAGTAGATCCTACTGTTTAAAGAAAATGACGTCCAGTTTGGCTCATAATTTTTTAATGAAATTTCTGGTATCAGCTTTTATTGATCATGATAAAAGGCATGGCCCGAGGAATTTGTATATGGTAAACGGGGAGGTAAGGGTTGTTGCTGCCGCGAAGTCTGGTGGACTTGGCGGTGTATGTTCCTAACACCATTGCTGAAGGGAAGATAGCCTTCCGAAGGACTAGTGTGAAACGAGTGCGACGAAGAGAGTGAGGATCGGTACAATTGGCTGGAGTTGGCGCGAGGTGGTTTTCCTGTACCACGAATGGCTGCTTTTAAGTTTGCTGCGAACAAACCAAGGTGCCTTTTTTAAAGATGTTTTCTGTCATGCAACACTTCAATTCCCTTGGACAAGATATTTTCATGATTGACTAGATGGACGTTTGGTAGTTTTAAGCAGCTGTCAATAAGGTTTGTGTTTATTTTGGATAAAGTATGCAGGGGAATGTCAGTTCGCGGGAAGAGGGTTGAACAGACGATTTTGCTCTTTGGGAACTTTGTAGATGCTTGAGTGATTAATACAGAGATGAAGTCGTCTATTGGCGTGGTTGTAGTAAGATCATTTGTTCCGGTGTGGATTATGATTAATTGAGGGTGTCCAGCCGATTCTTTATCAATTTCATCTTCTAAAATAGCCCTTGCGTGTTCAATTTTGGGACATCTGATAATAAAGCAACAGCAAGAAAATCGGAATTTTATTCACGAGCCGATGACAATTGTATTAAAGAAAGGTATCGCATAAGCCGTGAAAAAAGCATTTAGCCGACCGTAGATAATCGATGATTAATGAAAATAATAATAGTTGTTTTGAAACACCGATAACAGTAAAATAACTGATAGCTTGCTCAACAGCATCGGCCAGAATGGCTAGACATTTACGCATAATTATAAAACCAATGACAGTTTAGATTGATTCTTTCTTTTCTTGCTCATATTCATTAATGCAGTTTTTAATGCATGTCACATCATAAGAGCATTGAAACCTTCCCACTTTTTCAGCTGTCGCAATCTCGCCCCTGGCACCAATATTTTATTCTGCTTTTAACAACAATATGATTTTGAAACATACCACGGCAATGTCTTCATGTTTTACATCAAAGTTTTGCATTTCACGAAGACAGACTTTAAACGAATCCTTATTTGGATCTTCTGTCCATATTAGGGATGCATCATACTCCTTTCCAGTGCTCAAGTGTTCCGCGGTTACAAGAACTATAGGTGTCTCCTTGAACTTATTCTGTAAAGATAGAAAAAGTAGGACATAAGATATTTAGAGTCGGAAGTTACCTCTACGTCATCGTTCTATTTACAAAGGAACACATAATCGTTAAACATTATCTGTCATCACAGGCTCATTTCGACGTTTCCCTTACCTTGGGATAAGCCACTTGAGCACATTTCGTACCAGACCACCAGTCTTGCACCTTAATCCTTCCCGTCAATCCATTGGGTGGTGCTCCTTGGTAAGCCAGCCAATCAACTGTCGTGAACGGATTAAATCTCTCTCCACTGTTCCTTCCTGTCTGCATGACGCATACTGTAAAGTTTTTAGAGTTAACACTTTCAGTCCATGATGTGACAGCATCGTGGACTGTCTCGGAGTCATTTAATTTCATGTGATTAACAGCAACTTGAACATGAACTTGTTTTTCTGGGTAAAAGCGATACGGCGTGAAATCTACCGTCTGGCAAGTGGAATCTGTCCACTTTGGGATTCGATGAAGGTCCACACGGCCACGAACAACCGGGAAACCTTTGGAAAGAGCACATGACGTAAATAAGAACGAAACTCATCTTTTGTATTAACTATCTCCCCCTTCTCTAAACCCTGGACCACAGCGTTTTGTCTTATGCTCCAATTCATTTTCATAACTTCGAGGACTGTGTTAAGGGGTCTCTCTAACCAACCTTCACAGCTCCCAGGGTGGTAAACAAGGATATTGTCCAGTCCCCTGCAGTAGCTCAACTCGTGGCAGCATTTGTTGTCGTAAGTTGTTCCGTTGGCAGTGCATACTGAGTCCTGATAGGTGGGGCAGTCGTCAAAACACACGCAGCGTGCTTCCCCTATGAGCACTGTATGTCTTGCAGACTCCAAAAGATGGGCAGTTTACATTAAGACAAGGATCCAGGTCTTAAAAACAAAAAAAAATCCGTCTTACGTGATTTAACCGCTCTTCATCATACATGGCGTATTTTAGGGCTCAATTTTCGGCCCAACGCTTTTTAGACTGTACTCGAACGATCTACCTGAAGTCATCAAGTTAAGTAACATCAAATCTTACGTTGTTGACACAAAGACATATCTCCCTTTTGCGGCAAAGGACATTGATTCATGTCTACGCCAGGTTGCTGAGGATATCCAACATGTCACAGAGTGGTGTTGCGCCAACCTCCTTTTGAGAGAACAGTGTCGGAGCGAACACGCAACCTGGCTTGGCACCGTTTGTGACTACAAATTCCTTGCAGATGTAGTTTCCTTCGGCCACATGTACTTGCATTTCGTTGTGCAGTGCCTTTACCATTAGCAGGACATCCATACTCTCCGAGTACTTTCCACAGGCCCTTACGAGGCACTGTATCAAAAGCCTTTGAGAAGTCACTAAAAACGGTATACAGTGGCATATTCTGCACTACACACTTCACTTGTAACTGGTGCAGACAGAAAGTCATATCCGTAGTGCCTGGTCTACCACTGTGAAAACCACATTGATTCTCAGGCGAGACATTAGGAGTTATGTGTTCGTTAAACTGTTAAAAAGTCTGCGAGCCAAGATCTTTCCGGCTATTGAGAGAAGAAAAATACCTCGATAGTCTCCACAGTCCTTTCCACTTCCCTTCTTGAAGAGTGGCACGATACTAGCATTTTTCCAGTCTTGTGCTATTTCCTCAGTTTCCCAAGCCCCGGTTGTTCAAATGTTGGATAGCACTATCCACTGGATAACGCAATTGGCTTCCCTACTACTTATCATGAGCAATCTAGTACGTTTTTCATCATTGCCGTCGATTTTTGGGTACTAAGAAAAAGAGACGAAAATCACAGCTGAACACGTCATCATAAAAAATAAATCTTTATTTACGCACGGGCGTGCGTAAATAAAGATTTTGTTCATAGCGGCTCAATGGGACTTATATAGGGCAAGCACGCGCGCCATGTTATAAAAATAATTAATTATTAAAATAAATGCAAGAAATATTTAGCGTTTAACCCCCTATTGGCATCTGCCTAAAACTTTGTGGCCCCTTAAAGGGAGTGGCCCTCTCGTACAAGAGGTCTTACTATATGGTATATAGTGCTTGGAAAAGCACTTGACTTTGTATTTTTGTGTCTATACAGATCTTTTATAATAGGTCCCCGTGGAGGGGGTTGTACATATGTCCCTGGTCTGAATTTCAGAACCTGTTGTTTTTTATATTTTATATTATTCTTTATATTTGCTCTGAGCTTTGTCGCTGTTACAATTTCAACTGATGTTTTTTGTGTTGTTTGTTGCCATTTTATCTGCCGCTTTGTGTCGCTCATGCACTGTAGCAACAACATGTCACTTGTCAGCATTTTACCTCAGGTGAAGTGGTTGCAAATAAAAGTTTCAATGCTTATAAATTTATTCATGCAATGAATAAGTAAATTTATCAAAGGAACATTTTAATAAGCTTATTATTAAGCTACAGGTAATACATAATATCAAACCAAAAAAGAACTTAAAACACAGCAGAAGTTTTATTCTCAGGCTACTAAGATTAAATTGTTAAAACTGTGAATTTTTATTAAATTGTTAATAATTTTTGTGCTTTACCTTTTGACTATAGCCAGCCAAAATGGGTACGCCTATGGGCGTGTTCCTTCCTGCAATCCAGAACATATTTGGTGTAATCCTGTTTATACGCTTATCATGGATAGTGGGGGTAGCAGGAATGCTACAAGCTTTCTTAATAGTCTAGTGAATCACTCAAAGGCCAGAAAACAAGATTCTCCAAATTCAGTCTATAATCATACTTGTAAGTAAGCAAATCAGACCCAGCTTCGTGGTTGTCTGATTTTGTTAATCACTCGGCATACTATCAGCAACAGAATTGGACTCCACTCAGTCCTTAATTGTCTTTTCAAATTTTGATTTAAAGTGGGTCTGCACTACACAACTCTAAACCTTGCGTTAATCAGGTGCTGAGCGTTAAGTTCTTCAGTGTGTAAAGGCTAAGATTTCTTAGTTGCCCAAATGGCAAAAATAAGTTGCCAAGGGCCACCCACTAGCAGCACGGCAGCAAAGCTCTGTTCTTTGTTTTCTTTTCCCTGAACATTGTTGATACATAAAAGGGGGTAGCTATAGAGGAGCGGTGGGGGCAATATACCTGCCAACTTCTTCTGAGTCACATGTGTGAGATTTTTGTCTTGTCATGACTGGATTTGTCGATAACGTCCCAATAACTTCTGAGGATTTCCGATGATTTTCCGAAGACTTCTGAAGAATGCCGGCAATGTCAAAAGATGTCTGGGTAATCTTTGAGCTTTTCCGAAGCCATTTAAAAGGCAACAATTTTAGCGTGTTGCGATACAAGTGGGACACAAAGTCAGCATTAAGCACGTTAATGAATAATTATAGGAATAATGTTGGGATTGAATTGAAGTTTGGTTACTATAACATGAGTAGTATACTAGAGCCAAAGATAAGCCTCGTTGGTGGATTCCCTCGCAAAAAGTGGATTCCCTTTATTAATATGTATAAGTGTCTTCCTGCACATACTAATTCGGTCTAGGTTTACTAATGAGCGAATACTACATCCAATAGGCACAATAGGCTTGCCTCGGCTTGCCGGTGAAGTAACTTGAGCTCGGTTTTCAGACTGTCTATTAAAAGGAAAATAGGAATAAGAGAAGCGATCACCTAGCAACGCTAGAAACGGCGTCCTATATCTTATTTAGCGCTAAAACTCAGACATATAAACAAAACACATACAGAAAGTGGAGTTGAAAAGTCTTTATTTCAATTAAGTTTACGTCTTCTTATTTAGCTCTAAAACTCGGATATATAAACAAAACACACGCACATATACACAAAGTGGAGCTGAAAACTCTCTATTTCAATTTTGTCTGACTATTACAGAACTGTTTTCTCCGGTCCACCTCGAGGAAATGAAAAACTATTGAAGTCTCAACGTTTCACGCGCCGTTAGTCAGGTAATTATGCGAATTCACAAGCCCAAAGTTGAATACAAATTAGCTCTTCAGGAAAAACCTTAAGGGAGCATCTTGACGTATTATTTTAAAACAAATAACTTAACAAGGATCAATTGATTAAACACGCGACTAATAATTGCTAGCAACAAAATCAGACACGAGATACCGTTTAAAACAAAAAGAGTCAAATACACAGCGATTTGAAAGAAATCTATTAAAATAGTCAGAGAAAGCAAGCTACCCTTTTTTACCACGTTTCCCTCCTCAATTTTTTTTATTCCCTCCTCCACAATTTTATTATTTTTCGCTCCTCATTCTTGAATTCCCTCCTCCTCATTTTTATTGTTTTCCCTCCACCTTCTCCTCATTTCTATTGTTATAGGAGGTGAAGGAGGAGGAGGAGAAGCTGGAGGGAAAACAATGAAAATGAGAAGGAGAAGGAGGAGGAGGGAAAACAATAGAAATGAGAAGGGAATTGTGGTAAATGTTTTGTGGTAAATACGCCTTTAAGTTGTGCCATATCACTTTAGTTTCCCCTGAGTGTGGTAGCCTTTCTGGCCGCTTTCTCCACCACCACCAACAACAACATGCTTTATTTGCAGGACCATACAAGTACATACAGTATTGCAAAGCTATGTACAATAATGTTTTAAGAATAAGAATTAAAATTTAATCACTGGCCAATTAAACTACTTTGTTAATATTTCGTCGCGAATGTCAAAGAAGCTGAATTATATATTTCATGAACTTTAAATTAATATAGCAATTAAACGTGTTCATCAGTTCATTAATCAAAACGTTCACAGGTATTAAACTGGGTAATATTTGGAACCAGAATCTTAAATTTATTGTAAAAATTATTCCTAAGCAAAGAGTATTTTTGAACAATTAAAAAGAAAGTGAATTTCGTCTTCTATTTGATTGGATCCACATAAACGGCAATTCCTATTATCTCTGGTAGTTTGATTGTATCTACCAAGTTCTATTATTAGTTTGTGCCGGGTTACGTATTCGTAGTTTTACTTACTTCTTTCTCTCAGCTGTTCCTCTCTTTAAGTCTAGCTAATTAGAAATGGTATGATTGCTTTAATTTAAAAGATCTAAAAAATTCTAGTTTTTGAGAGTGGTGAAGGGTGTTTTGCCAATATGATGTGTATTCTTGTTTCATTAAACCTACGAAGCAGGTGATCTAAAGAAGGCATTTGATACCGTTAACCACTCCATTCTCTTAGATAAATTAAACTTCTATGGTATTCGAGGCACATCTTTTAACTGGATGGATAGCTATCTCCTCTCTCGCTCTCAATATGTTCAAATTGATTCCTGGAAATCTCCACTGCTTCCAATTAAATATGGTGTTCCTCAGGGTTCTGTGTTAGGGCTACTTTTATTTCTTATATACATTAATGACATTTTTTCATGCTCTAATTATCTCTCATTCATCCTTTTTGCAGACGACACTAATATTTTCTTTCAACACAAAAATATCTCTGAACTAACTAAAATTGTGAACCATGAACATTCTTTTGTGGCTACCTGGTTCAAAACTAACAAGCTAACTTTGCATCCCGACAAGATTAAATTTATTTTATTTCACCCTGCAAGAAAGAAAATAAATCTAGATGGTCTTTCTATTAGCATTGATAAGAACAGTATTAATAGAGTAGAACACACAAAATTCTTAGGTGTTATCATCCATCAAAACCTCTCATGGCAGGCTCATATAAAAGCGATTTCTTCCAAAATTGCCAAATCCACTGGGATCATTATCAAATCACGACAGTTTTTCCTTTCTAATACCCTTTGCACATTATACAACTCTTTAATACTCCCATATCTTCAATACTGTTCTATTATTTGGGCATCCACTTACACTTCTCATTTACAACCCCTTTTCCGTCTCCAGAAGAAAGCTTTAAGAATCATTACTCATTCTCCACCACGTGCACATACTTACCCGCTCTTTAACAAATTCAAAGTACTCAACATATTTAATATTTATAAGTACCAAGTTTCTTGCTTTGTTTTCCTTCACATGCAGAAGCTCTTGCCCTCTCCTCTTTCATCTCTTTTCGTTCTTAACTCTGATTGTCATCAATATCTCACCAGGCAAAAAGACATCTTACATCTTCATACTCACAAATATTCTTTTTCTCTTCGGGTACAGGGTCCTCAAATTTGGAATGACATTCCTCTCTCACTTCGTAATTCACTTACTCTTTCTAGTTATAAACATAAACTGAGAGATTATTTTCAATCATTACAAGTTTAAACCAAGTTGAACTCAATTTTTTTTCTCCTTCAAACTCTTTTCTTTATTACTTTTTTGCACACTATCATTAATTATTATGTTTATTTTGCTGTATATGCAGTAATAATTCTTTATATGTTGTAATAGTTTGCCTTTTCTCTGTAAATTTTGTACTTATTAATTTTATTCTCATTGTAACTTAGCAGCACATTGTAACTCTCTGACCTACGCCATGTAAGCCTCTGGCTTTGGCATCTTATTATCGTTAACTTGTGCTTTGTGTACTTACTTATCAATAAGAATAAATGCTATGCTCTGGTAAAAGAAAAAAAAATTTTTTTGTGGCGGTATCTAACAAACCGGTGTTGAAGTCAGGTAGGTTGAAATATTCTGACATCTCCGTCAAGTGAGAGTGAAAGCTACTCTTACCATTGCAGTATAAGACAGATGACATTAAAAAAGAATGCTTAACGAAAGATTCTTCATCTTTAGACTTAATATATGAAATGCAGTTGAAGAAGCCTTGTTGTTTACCTCTAAAAACGTTTGCAAAATTGGAGGTGTGTCTTTTCGATTTGTGAGCTGTCCCAGGTCTGGTTTGGCATACACACCACAAATTTTACTGTTATAAGTCAGAATAGGGAAGATCATTCACAAATATCTCCAAACATTAGTTGTATTACGGGAAGCTTTGTCTTATCAGTCAGGAGACCGCTGTCTTAACGTCATCTTGGTCATTCACATCACAGTTACAAATAAGACTGGAGAATGCACATGAGCTGGTCATCCCGCATGCGCACTTACCATTAACAGATGCTCCACCCCAGCAAGTCATCTTAGCAGAGTCATGTGACCCCCACCAAGTCCATGGGCCGCCCATGAAAAACATTGAAACATTACACTCGAAATTGATAAACTGCTCACAGTGCCAGGAGACTTTGGTGAGACTGGCCAACTGAGGCAGACTCGCTCCTGTGTAATTAATGTCACGTGAGTAGCACCCTACAGGGTCGCGTCCTGTCACGTACGGTCTGCCTTCTGTCATGACTGATGACTGCATGTCACCCCAACACCGGTCTTGTCCGTCATGTCACAGTAAACTGTAAATGGTGCCAGACCTCCCTCGCCATCTGGATCAATGAAGTAATTTCGACTTGCTGCTGTTGTTGGGTCTGTCTTCTTTTAAAATTTAGGCCTTGGCCAAACGTCAAACTTTTCATGAGAAAAACCAAAGTTAATGAGTTAAACTTAAAAATTAGAACTTTGTACGATAATGTATATTTAGCCTCGTTCGGGAGAAAGTTTTATATTAAAACTGCTTTTTGGCCTGATTCAGTTCATTGGTTCGAAGCGTCCTATGTTCGACGTCCGACCCAATAGATGATCTTAACTTAATTAAGGCCTACCCAGCTTAGTGTTCGGTTCGTGTCATGAAAAGTTCGACGTTTGGCCTAGGCCTTACTTCCGTGCCTCTCGATCCGTTCCGAAAACGTATTTCGTGTTTATAGTTTAACCAACTGAAAATGTTACCTACATCCTTCGTTGATAACATTAGTCCTCTTTCCCAGGGCATATAAACTTCTTTGGAGGCTTTTCATGATAAGGACAACTGGGCTTGCTGCAGCGTGCTGCTTGCGCACTAAAATGAATTACTAAAAATGTCCCTTACAGACTGCCGGGGTGAATTGGGTAAAAAAGGTAACTTTCTGAGGCTATATTACCCTGTTTGCTGAACTTCAAGAACCTTCGTTTTACCAAATTGTTCAATTCTTCCAAGGAACAGCTGGCGGTGTTTTGTTTTGCGAGACACGCGGAATAGTGATGGAGGTTCCTGGTCCTAAGTTTACTCCGTCAGTTTGGGTTTCTATAGGTAGTCAATTCTTAATGTAGTGGCTGATAAAAGAGCGAAGGGGTGAATAAGACAAGGTTGACAAGACACCCCTCTATTAAAAGCATCAATTCACTACCAAACGGGAAATTAGATTGTAACCGCTTAAAAATCTTGCAAACGTACGATGGGAAACTTACAACAACACTGCTTTAAATTACCAAGCAAAAGCGACTAGCGGAGGCTGAAATAGTCGAAGTAAATGGCTCTTATGACCTTGTTTGGAATCAAGAAAACGAATCGGAGCAGACCCTGATAGAAAAACACCTGAAATAATGTTATCTTATAAACAGTAGTGACCCTTATGAAAATCTTAAATGTGAACCCAAAAACATCTCCAGTGAGTTGTAACCGGTAGGTTTGAAATAGTACGCCCTCAGGCCGTACCATAACACTTTAGTTTTCCAAGGGTGTGGTACACTTTCTCGCCACTATCACCAGTATCACCAAATCTGAGCTGTTTTACTGGAAGCTTTGTCTTGTCAGTCAGGAGACCGCTGTCTTCACGCCATACATTGTCATTCTTATCACAGTTACAACCAAACCTGGAGTCTGCACATGAGTTGGTCATCCCGCATGCGCACTTACCATTTTCCAAATGCTCCACCCCAGTACCTCATCTTAGTAGAATCATGTGACACCCACCATCCGTCAAAGTTGTTATTAAAAAGCAGCACCGAATTATAACACTCGTGCTTGATAAACTGCTCACAGTGTGAGGGGACTCTGGTGAGACTCGCTAACTGAGACAGACTCGCTCCTGTGTAATGAATATCACGTGAGTAACCACCGCGGCTGTTGTATCCTCTCACCAACTTCCTGCTCTCAATATCGTGACCGATGACTGTCTGGCCAACACCCTTTTTGTCATTCATATCACAGTACACAGTAAATGGTGCCAGCCCTCCCTCGCCATCTGGATCAATCCTATAGCTTCCGCTACTGCTGTGGTGTTTGCGGACTTCCGAGCAGGATCTCGGGGTTGACTGGCGACAGTTATGTCCACTTCCCATGTACCCAGGCTTGCACTTGCATGAATAGGATCCACGTTCATTAGCACATGTAGCATCCGGGTGACATTTGTTTGCCTTTTTTTTTCAAACTGGTACAAACGACTCATCTTTTGAAAGGAACGTATAAAAACCAGGACGATTTTTGTTGAAGACGTAGGCTTTTTGCCTCAGGTGAGCCCTCAACATGCTATAGACAAAGAAATTTTGTTTTTTACCTTTGTGTATTTAATCCAGCCGTCCAATCGTGTGTTTTATGAGGGCGGAACGGGGAGTGGGTCAGAAGAACGTTAACTCAAGTTGAAATGTGTAGTTCCCCTCACCCCCTGCAATTTCCGTAATTTACTTGGTTGGGCACCCTATGGAAATAATATTTGTGTCAAAAATGTTGTTGCACTATATTGTTATGCGAATAATAATTTTTTCTGCGATAAAATGCGAAAAAATCTTTTTATGTTAATACGGTGTCTAATAATCTCAGGTCGTTCTTAGCTAATTAACCATAGAGTACGGTTACCGTACACTGACTACATGAATTGTGTCATCTGCAAAAGAACCAGGTACATTCAAACTAAACGCAACGTGAACTTTCATTACTTCAATTCAGTTAGAACATGAAAACTATCGCATAAACCGTGAAAAAAGCACTTACATTTAGCCGACCGTAGATAATAGATGATCAATGAAAACAATAATACTTGTTAACGGTAAAATAACTGATAGCTTGCTCAACAGAGAAGCTGTTTTATATTAATAACTCACCAATCTTACTCAGACTCCCTGGAAAAAATCTCTCTAAGCAACCCCCTCCCGTCGGGGAGGCTTTAAGCGCTTAGAACAGCGATGTATAAGCGCTATATAAATTCCATTATTATTATTATTATTATTATCCGTAGGATGCACAAGATGTCTGCGATTCCCCAATTCATCATTATTAAAATCGTTAAAGGACACTATGTAGCATAGTATCATACTTACGATTTGATTGTACCATGGCCTTCGAAGAATTTATGGAATGTTTTTGGAAGTACCGGCGGACTTGATGGATAATCGTTTAAATAGCTAGATAGGAAAGACGACTTACTAGTCTATGTGGATGAAATTCTGCTACAAATTCATGTTCAAATTTTTGCCTATCTTGCCAACTTTGATTTATAGACACCATAGGCATGATCGGCTGAAATGTAATGCTATCCATATGAGGATCCATACCGTACCTTGGATTTTGTTTTTTATTTCAGTCCTACTCAACAGTTTTAGAATCAAAGCAACCTTCGTGGGAAGCAAAAGGCTTTCCGACTGTTTTTAAAAAGGCCTAATACGGAAAGGCTTTAGATTAATTGGAAGCTCAAAGCTTTTTAAACATGTTTATCTATAGATAAAAAGGTTAACAAGAGAAAGATTTATCTGTGCTGAGCTTTGAAATATCGGTATTCGCTATTTGATAAGACGATCAAGAAGTTCTTTGTCCGTTTCTGCGTAGTTAGTGAAGTGGAATGGTTATGAAACCAGTCAGACATCTTTGTTGATATTTTTTTGTGGACCTGAAAGTGCACAACGTTCAAAAGTATTCCTATCATTTTGATCGTGTTGACCAATTAAAACGTTTTAGTGATTTATTCCGTCACAATTTGCTAAAAGAAAACAAGATTGTGCACCTTCTGGAAGCTTAGTAGTGTACTATTGTCAATGGTCTCACTGAAACGTACATGTATGTAAAGAGAATCCATTATCAATTCGTTCTCCTTTCTCGCACACCTGCGTGCTGTTCATATCTGGTTGTTCTCCTAAAACCGATATTTACTCACTATGCCGTTCTTCGCCTTATGACTCACGCTCAACAACCTGCCATGCTGCTCAACAAGTTGTAATTGTCCCGCAAGTTGAGCCGCCGCCGTTGGCAGAACCTGCTCCATTACCGGGGAAGAATTCAAACCCAACTTTAGGTATTTCGTTATTTTCTTGTCTTATTGTGTTCCTTCTTTGCGTTTTTTCCCGTTTTGTTCGCTCGGGCCCTTGAGATTCCAGTTTTTAATTTAGTTTATACGCGTTTGTGCTGGATTTTGCCTTTTTCTTTTCCAGCTTCGTTTATTATGCAGTTACAGTTTGTTTTCTGACTTGTTGTTTGCACGCCTTACTGACGGTCGACTTTCGATAATTCGAACCTTCAAGGGAAATCGAAAAAAGTTCGAGTTATCGGGAATTTGAAGCAAATAACCGGAATTAAGGAAAGAAGCAAATGGATGGGAAGGAAAGGCAATTAAGCAACAGAGTATACAGGAATGGACACTGAATTTGAACTGGAGAGACAAAAAAGTAAAGAAAAAGAATTTACTAGGTTGTTTTGAAATAAATTCAATGTTTCGGACTTCAGTACACGGCTTTTTTTCCCTACTTGTCACTCGCTTATAACATGGTTCGAGTTATCAATGGTAAAATTGTATATATAGAAATGAGCTGAAGGGAAGCAAAAATTACTTCGAGTTAGCGGGAGGTTCAGGGTTAGAGTTACCGAGGGTAAAATTACAGTAAATGTATGACAGAAGAATCCAGGGGAAATCGACTCTGGTTCGAGTTACTCAGCGAGGGTTCGAGTTATCGGGAGTCAACTGTATTCATTTTGGCATGCTACGTTATTTTCACGTGTCTTTCGCACATTGTAGCCTTTATCTTTTCCGATCGCCCTTCAATTTTGTTCCCTCGGTTATAGTTTATTTTAGTTATCTCATATCTTGTCGCATCACACAATACCACCAGCTGCGCAGGATAGGTCCAGCTTATTTGCTGTTTTTGTCTTCGTGGGTTTACAAAAGGTCCCGCTTGTTGATTGACGGTTCCGTTCTATTTTTGCGGGTTAACAGAAGGACTCCCGTTTGTTTATTGGGTTTTTATTTTTCTCGGATAGCACAGTCCGCTTGTTTATTGAGTCTTTTGTCCCCGTGGGTTACCAATAGGTCCCGTTGGTTTTTGAACTTTTCTAGTCTATATGCACTCTTATTTTTTTTGCGACTTTCTTTATTCTCCGAGTAGTAATTTGTTGCTACATTTAAGAGACCTTACTCCCCATAGCTAGTTCACTTTTTCTTTTATTTGCATCAGTCGCTTATTCCATTTGTTTCCTGGTATATGGGTCAACCGGGTTTTTCTCCTTAATTGTTCGCTATAGGCCCTATCTTCTATTACGACCTCATCCTCTTCTGTATCCGTAGAAGCTTCTAGTTTGTCAAGTCAAAAACCCTCTTTGGACTCCCTCAAGAATTTGATTTGTGCCTTTCCTTCTCGTCCCTCAGGGGTTAAACGATCTTCTTCTGACACTTCCTCCTTTTAAGTTTGGGTAGCTGGTTTTTTCTCTCAGTTTGGGTCCTTATTTTAGATTTTGGGAGATTAAGTATGGGGTCTTGTGCTTTGGGTAAGGTTATTTTGGATCCCTTTTGCATTGCCTAGTGCTTTTACTACCTGTTTCTCGTGTATTTCACTGATGCCATAAGCTCAAGGACGCCAGGGCTCCCATTCTTATCATGGAAGTTTAGGTGAGACCAGTGAAAATAGCTCACTATTGTCAGCGGTCTCACTGTAATGTATGTAAGGAGAATACATTATCAATTCGTTCTTCTTTCTCGCAAACGCGCGGCATGTTTCTTCGAAGTTGGAAGTATAACTTTCTTATCTTGTCTCATCTGTACTTATCCTCCCTGTGCATGTGGTTTCTCCCAGCGCTTCTCCCGCCCTTCTCTGCCCTTTTTCACTGTCCCTTTTGCCGCTGCGAACGTCCGCCAGGGCTCCCATTCTCATTAAAGAAGTGTAGGTGAGACCGGTGAAAATAGTTCACAATCACTAGAATTAAGCCTCGCTGGTGGGTTCCTTTGCGTTCGGTGTGCGTTTCCTTTATTAATATGCATAAGGGTCGAGTCCATGACGTCACCCATTGTTATAACCTAGGGAAAGAGTGCGTTCCTCCATACTAATTAAGTGCCTTGTCAGTACGTTCCACCATACTAATAAGTGCCTTCCTCCGAAAGAAAAGGTTGCAACTTTTATTGCTCCTGAAAAGGAGTCGTTATTGGGATCCCCTCATCCTGTTGACGACATAAGGCCTATCTTTTTCGGCCTCTCCTACTTCTTTTCCTTAGAGTAAGGAAAAACCCAGGGCCAAAAGAGGAGAGACCTTGGGTATTTTATAATTTACTCAAAATCTAGATCAAAATCTGATCGAGGCCCCTAGTCTTTAGTTCCATGTGTCACTTAGGCCTCAATGGCTTTGAAAACTTACTGTGTAAAGCTTATCAACATCACTAAGTAATTACCAAGCAAATTCAAAAAGGAACCAGCGTATCTAAGTAAAAGCAATCTGTGTACATATACATAGCTCTGCAGAGTTTTATTATACAAGCTAGTTACCAGTCCTTGTTTAAAAAAGAAACAGAGTCTGAGTCGCAAATACCCGTTTTAATGCTATCATTTAATCATTAGTTTAGAAAGCTCAATTTCACCTCACGTAAGGTAATCCAAAACTAGGATTTTAGATTCCCCGCTGTGGATTCCGGATTCCAAATATTAGCAGAATTTCGGATTTCTTAAGTTGGATTCCGAATTTTAAAGCCCAGGATTCTAGATTCCACAGTAAAATAATATCTCGGATGAGGGATTCCACATACAAAGATTTCTCAGTCGGGTTCAGGAATCCCAATTACCTGACATGAGGCAATCGCGATCTGTTACTTCAGTTCTGCATATTTATGACCCTTATATTCTGCTTCAGGATCCTAAATATTGCATTTACATGCATACCTCTGACTGATTAATTCTGTGATAGGTGTGCCTTAATTTCAAAAAGTATGCCTCTTATGGTGTGCCATAGCACTTAAATTTCCCCAGAGTGTGGTAGCCCATCTCGACGCTTCCGCCAACATCTCCAAACTTGAGCTGCTTTACAGGAAGCTTCGTCTTGTCAGTCAGGAGACCGCTGTCTTCGCGCCACACTGAATCATTTTTGTCACAGTTACAGCCATACTTGGAGTTTGCACAGGCGTTTTTCATCCCACATGCGCACTTACCACTACCTGGAGATGCTCCACCCCAGTACGTCATCTTAGCAGAATCACGTGATACCCACCAGGCCACTCCCCACCTGAACATTACAGAATGATAACACTCGTACTTGATGAATTGTTCACAGTGTGAGGAGACACTGGTGAGACTGGCCAGCTGAGACAGACTCGCTCTTGTGTAATGAATGTCACGTGTGTACTTATTGTCTGTTACCTTTGTTCTGCTCTCACTGTCGTGACTAATGACTGTCACGCCAACACCATTCTTGTCAGTCATGTCACAATACACAGTAAATGGTGCCAGTCTTTCCAAGCCATCAGGATCAATCACATAGTTTCCGCTACTGCTAACAGATTTCCGGATTTCAGAGCAGGATCTCGGTGGGGTTTGATGGCGACAGCTATGTCCATTTCCAACGTACCCAGTCTTGCACTTGCATGAATAGGACCCGCGTTCATTGACACATGTAGCAAGTTGATGACAGTTGTACGTCTTACTGTCACATTCACTGAAATCTAATTTTAAAATATACATCTAAATATTCAATACCACACTGATATAAAAGCCAGGACTACTGTTTTAGTAAATGTAGATTTTTTTTGTTGTTTTAAGTGTTTTTCGGTATATTTAGTTGCCTTAGTGCTACATGTTAACCACGCAGAAAGCGTTTTCTTTATCCATAGCTGAATTTTGAAAACATCGTTTACTCTGTGAAAGGCCTTTGAAGGTGGTCTTTGTCTGCATTCATGCCTGAAAGTGGGATCACATGCTATCGCCATGCACAGAATAGATAAATCCGTGACTGTTACTGAAACACACCTCAAACGCCAAAATGAATATAAACGATTTTAGCATCCTACCTTTCTTGCAAGTGTACTGATGACAATCACTACATTTCACATCATTCCATTCATAGTCGTATTTCAAACCCAGTGCATGTACGCAGTCTTCTTCATTAAAGTTATTGGGCTGATTCTTCGCCCAAGCTGTAAAGTTTCCCTCACCGCGATCTGCCCAAGAGAAGTTACCCTCCATGGAGACGTCATTTAAGCCAAGCCAGGAATTTTGTCCGTTGTGGCTATGTTGAATATATACATTTTCCTCATCGTTGGTCACATCAACGAGAACCGAGTTTTCCTGACGACATTTGGTAAGAGCTGTTGTCCAGTTGACACATTTGGTACTCGTCAAATAGCAGAATCCATTGAAATAGCTCCATCCAGGATCACAAATATCTGTGGGGACGTAAATTTTAAGATCTGGCTTTTAGGTTATGGTTATTGGCTAAAGCCCAAAGTTCATGTATGTTACTTATTGAAGACGTCAATCTACTGACAGCAAAGACGAGGAGTGATACGTGGCAAATGTATGCGAAGTAAGAGAATGTCATTATGGGAAAATGCTATCTTATATAAAAAAAAAAGCTGAGCAACGATTTTACGTGACATCTGCACACGTGAAGTATGACTGCCACTAATCAAAACGTGATAGGTTGCCCTGAGTGAACTGTACCGACTAAGTCATACCATAACGTACTTTTCTTGTTAACTGACCTGCTAGTACTGCATAATTCACTGACACGGGATCGTATCTGGTTTCGTACAATTCCTTCAGACACACCCTGAACCCTGTTGCGTTCATGTTCTGCAAATAAGGATTATAGCTAGCTAACTGCGATCATCAAAACTTGTTGAAATATTGCTTAGTTTAGGGTTGCTTTACGCATACGTAGCAAGCAGAAGCGCATTTGACTGTTGCAAAAGACTCCTCTTTAAAGGCGATAGCTGTCTAACAACCTTCCTACTGGTAACTTAAAAACAAGCACACACTTTATAAAGATAGACTCAACTTTAATAAAAGAACAATGTCATCATTTCGTCAACTAGAGGAAAAAGTAAGTGGTCCCGTGCACCTCCTCCTCCACATAGGCTCCTTTTATGTCGTAAGGAGGTTGGGGCTAGGAAGAAAAAGAAACGCACTGGGGACGATGGGAAGCCGCCTTTTCCCTCTTTTTATCGTCCCAATCCCAGGGGGAGACCCTGCTTAGGAGAGAGGTCACCGCACAATCTTAGATTTCCCGTTTCGTAAACTTCCTGCCTGTGATTCGATTTGAAAGGAATGATGTCACTGATATAAGAGCTATGCTGCTTAGCATTATCTAAGGTAAATAACGAGCGCGAATTCTTGCCATGGCAGACACCCTTTCAGTAGAGTTTTGCTTTTTACTGAGCTGCAGGGCACGCCCGGTTATAAATTCGGTTTCCTTCGGTCTTTTAAATACGGGCACTGTTAATTGTTCACCAAGTTTAACCCAGAAGGCGTTGCGTGTTTGGACAAAGCATGTTTTCCCGTTTCAGTGCAGTATCGCAACTTGCCTTTTCATCGCTATACTTCGTTCTGTTTAACGCAACACACGCCTAAATTTTGCATAAGGGTAAAGAAGACTCGGACGACGGAATTTACACTTCGAGAACTTCGCAGACAAGTTCAATAGCCTGCGAAGCTTGCTTTTTCAGTTTGGCGAGAGAGCAAATTGGCAGTGAAGAGAAAAAGAAAAGCGTTTAAGAGCAAGGCAAGTCACTCAATAGTGCAGGGTTTGGTGACTTTGCTTCCTATAGCTTTCAGTGCATGACCTTGTTATGCTAATCTTTCGCAAGTTCTGTGTTTTCCTGCTCCCCTTCAACAAGTACGATTGATTAGAGTTGCGATAAACTTTGAAAGTTCACCACTCGCTTTAAGTTTATCGCCATTCATACCTTTTGATGAAGTTGTAAACTAAAGCCATCGAAAATTTAAGTGATTTCACTCGAAACTTCACATGGCAAAAACTTGACTTACACATGTGCCCACATGTGCAAGACCTGTATACTGAAGGTGTTTTGAATACGTGCTGTAAATGTGACGGAGAAGTGCAATATTATATGAATGAACCATATGGTTTCAATTAATGTAAAGGTCAATCATTTTTCATCGAGATAAATCGCTTGAACACAAAACAATTTAAGTTCGTGTAATCGCATTATGACCCAGATTTAAACAAAGTCACGAGCTACTGAACTTCAAGGTGCGTTTAGTTCAGTCTTTAGCAAACCGCGGATTTAGCTGTGAAAAGCGTTTCGCTTACGGTTCGGAGAAGTGAACAATAGAATAATTGCCTTCCATGAAAATACGTTAGTTACGGCTGAGAAAAATAGCGGATCTTCAACTCATATTACGGTATCAAAAAATTGTGAAAATCTTCGGTTGATCTGTTTGCATATTTTTTAAAGTTCTTTCCGATGAAATCGACGTCGTCTGAGTAATCAAATCTTTAAATTTTGTGAGGTCGGAAAACGAAAACAGCTAATTCCTTAAAATTGGAGAGAAATACCAAGAAATGAAAGGAAAAAATCTTGAAACATAACATTTTTATCTTGTGGCAAAATGCGTTTTCGTGTCGACCATAATTTTAAAATAAGATTATCATCTATTTATAGTCTAGGCGCAGTCGGATCAATGAAGCCGGTGGATCGATCGGGATACTTAGGTTTAATGGTTCATTCCTTCATTATAAGCTGTTGACTGTCTGTTCTAGAAAACGTCTCGTTTTCATGCAACACAGGTTTTATGCCGGGCAGCCCAGTAAAGTCGCCTATCGGAGAGTCTAGTTACCTTAAAAAACTATGACGGGGATTGATATTTTCCTAGGAGATGATCGAGACACATCCCAAGATCCTATTTTGTCTTTTATTACCTCGATCCACGTTGCAATCCCATTGCGCACTGGTACGGAGTTTCCAGGAGCCGTGCTGTTATGATTGGCTGTAAGTATCACTGAGGGTGTTGTGTTGTAGGATCTTTCAAACTTCACAAACTGCCATTAAAAACAAATCATTAGAATTCTTGACAGTTCTTGTTATATTTTCTATTCCTGGCATTCACTATTGTGCTTATAACCTGGGAATGGTCCTGTACTGTTAGAAATAGTTGCGACAGAAAAAGTATTTCAAGTGCGCGCAGGTCTGTCTTCAATTTTTTTTTTTTTATTTAATTGTTCAGACTTTCTTTTCTTTTATTAGTGTAGCATAAGACGCGGTGTATTTCTATTTCTTTTTTGTATCTCATCGGTGTTTTTCTCCTTTCACTCGCCTGGCAATAAGCGTTGTTATCTTTGTCTTTTGGTGGCTTTTTGTTTAAAAACCCGACAGAATCACTTTCAGTGAAGAACGGTTTGCTCAGCTCATCAAATACCAGCCAACTCTGAAATAAAATAATTAAAGAGCATCAAAATCAAAATCAAAACTTTCCTCTTCTTTGCTTATATTCATTAATGCCATTCTATGCATGTCACATTATAAGAGCACTGAAACCTTTCGGTTTTGCCTGCGGTTTTTATCCGGCGCCGGACACCAACATTATACTTTACTTTTAACAACAATATGGTTTTTGAGACATTTAATAAGAGTACATACCACGGTAATGTCTTCATGTTTTCCATCAAAGTTTTGCATTTCACGAAGACAGACTTTAAATGAGTCTTTATTTGGATCTTCTGTCCATATAAGGGATGCATCATATTCCTTTCCAGTCCTCAAATGTTCCGCGGTCACGAGAACTATAGGTGTCTCCTTGAACTTATTCTGTAAAGATTTAAGAAAGTACAGATTAAAAATTTAGAGTAGGGAAATTGTACACAAAAAGACCTACCTACGCCATCATCCTATTAACGATGGAACACAATCGTTAAACATTCTCTGTCATCACAGGCTCATTTTGACGTTTCCTGTACCTTGGGAAAAGCTACATGTTCACATTTTGTTCCAGACCACCAGTTTTGCATTTTAATAGTTCCCGTTATTCCATTGGATGGTGCTCCTTGGTAAGCCAACCAGTCAACTGTCGCGAAGGGTTTAAGGTTTTCTCCGCTGTTCCTTCCTGTCTGCATGACGCAAACTGTGAAATTTTGAGTGTTGACACTTTCAGTCCATGACGTGACAGCATCGTGGACTGAAACAGAGTCATTTAATTTCATATGGTTGACAGTAACTTGGACATGAACTTTCTTATCCGGGTAGAAGCGATAGGGCGGGAGATCCACTATCTGGCAGATGGAATCGGTCCATTTTGGGATTCGATGAAGGTCCACGCGGCCACGAACGACAGGGAAACCTTTCGAAAAGAGTATTTAACGTAAGTTAGACTAAAAGCCATCCTCTCATAGTTACAGTTACTTAGTCTCAACTGTTTACCCTATAACAAGTTTAACAAAGAATGGAAACACTATCTCTTGATCAATCAAACATGATTACTGCTGCTTTACTTGCTTCATCTCTGATTTAATTTTTTTTTGCTTTGTTGCCATTTATTTGATCGTGGAGTTGCCCAACTAGATAGCGGCTCGCCGCAGCCGCTCCGGCCGAAGCCACTCAAGCTCCCCGTCCCCAAGTGTAGACAGGAAGATTGCATGACTCCGGCTTGAGCACCTGCGAAGGAGACTACCAACTAGAAAGCTCTTGCTTCTTTGAAAACTACACATATAAGTTCATTACCACTTCTCAGCCTGAACATGGATTATTCATTATTATTTTTTTTTATTTAGAATATAATAGTGTGTAAGTGTCCTATATAGTGTAAATAAGTTAAAAAATGAAGAATTGAATTGAATGAAGAATTCGCTGTGAAAATTAGCTAAGCCTGGACGACAGCGTTTTGTTTTATACATCAATTCGATCAGTTTCATTGCTGCGACTAACAAACAACTGGGAAACCTTTTGAAAAGAGCACAAACGCAAATTAGATCGAAACTCATCCCTTTGAAGTTATAAGTTTTAAGAATGCGCTATGAAAATTAATTATCGCCGCCTACTCCAAAACTGGACAACAGCGTTTTGTCTCATGCACCAATTCATTTTCCTTACTTAGAGGACTGTGTTAGGGGGTCTCTCTTACCAACCTTCACAGCTCCCAGGGTGGTAAACAAGGTTATTGTCCAGTCCCCTGCAGTAGCTCAACTCGTGCCAGCATTTGTTGTCGTAAGTTGTTCCGTTGGCAGTGCATACTGGGTCCTGATAGGTGGGGCAGTCGTCAAAACACACGCAGCGTGCTTCATGAGCACTGTATGTCTTGCAGACCCCGAAAGATGGGCAGTTGACATTAAGACAAGGATTCAGGTCTGAAAAACAAAAAAAGAACTCTATCTTACGTGATTTAACCACTTACTATAATACATGGCGTACCTCAGGGCCCAATTCTCCGCCCAACGCTTTTTAGCTGTACTCGAACGATCTACCTGAAGTCCTCAAGTTAAGTAACATCGAATCGTACGTTTATAACACAAAGATATATTTTTCCTTTGCGACAAAGGACATTGATTCACGTCTACGCCAAGTTGCTGAGGATATCCAACATATCGCAGAGTGGTGTTGCGCCAACCTCCTTTGTTGCATTGATGGCATCCAACAGTTTCTTGCATTTTTTTCATCAAGGAATGAGATGTTTGGCCACTGTGCAATAGTGTCCAAGGCAGAGCGATCAACCTCTTTTGATATGTTGAGTAGCTGGTCAAAGTGATTTGCAAACCCATCGAGAATCTCAGGTTTTTCATGTTTTACTGTCTCACCATCAAGGGCAGTAAGCTGTGTTGTACCAATCTACAGTGGTCCATACACTTCTTTCAGCCAATTGTAAAAGACTTTCATATCGTTTTTTTCTGCTGCCTGCTGCAATTTTTCAGCCTCTGCTTCCCACTATTGAGACTTCATTTCTCTGGTGTACAGCTGTACATTCCGTCGACTACCGCTCAGTTTTGCCCTGCTTGATCTAGCTATTTCACCCTTGCATTAGTTCTTTTCTCTAACAAGGTCTTCAGCTTCTTGTTACTGCCTTCGAACCAATCCTGGTGTTTGCGATTGGGTTTACCAAAGACATTAACAGCAGTGTCATATGTAATTGCTTTTAAAGAATTTCAGTTTTTTTCAACATCTTCTGACTCGTGATGTTGCAATCCTGCCAAAGCCTTGTCCTTTTCCTTCGTCAACTTCTGTCGGTTATCTTTATCTCGTAGTTGATTTCGTTCATATATGTAATGTTTAGTAATTTCGAACGTTACTTAGCCTGACGAGTTCTTGTAAATTAATTCTGAAAATCCCAATTGGGAGAATTAATAAAACAATAATTAATAAAACTGCTTAAGTGTAGACTTTTGATTTAGGATAGTAAGTTTAGTCCAACATTTTGCAGATAAAATCCATGCCTACATTTCCTTTCTTCTTTCATGAATCTGGTAAAATGACCATTCAAGCTCGTCATAGAATTTGTTATTGTGCATTACTTACCTCCGGTTACAATATAACTAACAGAAAGAGGGTCATGTTTCCGTCCTGTTCCACTCAAGTCTCTGACACAAATCCTCATCGATTTTAGGCCAACTTCCTGGAAAAGAATGAAACTCTTTGCGATGAGATACTTCACCTTTAAACCAGAGAATTATTTTAAGAACATCTGTAGAAAAGTAACGTACCTCCACCCATGCCGTGACAATATTATTTTCTGGTAAAATGACGTTTTTCATGTTGCGGTTGTAGTAGTGATGAACTGAAACCAGAACCACAGGTGACGCGTAGAAGGTGGTGTTGTAATGAATATTCTGTGAAAACAGTGAATAAGGGTATAACAGTTCATTACGTACTACTTCTTCATTTGATAAAACTGCTAGGACAGCGCAAATCTGATTCCTAAATTGAGGTTAAGTCAGAAAATGGTATGAGCTATTTTCGGATCAAGACTGAAACTCTTAACTCATTCTCTGTCAAAAGTAAAAAGAAGGAAAAATTTCGCAACATCTCCTCCTTTTTTTTAGTAAAATGCTGTATTAAAAAAACATAGTCTATCATTTTTAAAAGGCTGTCAAAGAGGTTTAATACTGCAGTATTTTGATTATAGATTCCAAGGTTAGAATAGCTTCATAACACTATGTTGTTCACTTTAGCATACGCGGTGAAAGGATTGATGTCGAGTGAGGATTTCTTTCATCAGGTGTTCAGCTTTTACCTAATGACAAATAGCTACTGTCAAAATCATAATATGGAGCCGACAAACTGTAAGTATTAAATTAGAATTAAGGTACTTGACAGAATCCAAAGTTGTCATATGACGTCGGTGTGCCAAGATTTGGAAAGGTTACTTCTCCTGTCATGGTCAAATTGAAATTAGAACCATTCCCAGCAAACGCGAACCAGTCCTGAAAGCATACAATTTTAAAAACATAAACGTCGAGACACTGCTATTTCCGTTTAACAGTTTATGGAAAAAAAATCCCAGTTCTTATAAATCAAATAGTAAGATACATGTATAACGTGCAAGCTTATTTCCATTCAGTGTGTCTCGGCTGGGCAAAACACATTGTAGTTTGTATGTGTTCAATAACAATAAGCCAACAACCCGTATGCCACCATCGTTGAGGTTCCGAAACCACGAGGATATTGTAAATGGACGTTGGTCCCTCTATACCAGAAAACACCAGGTTGGTGTCTAGTACGGTATAGACTATCTTGTAGATTGATCTCTCTGAGCTTTGGTTAGCAATCCGTCTAGTGATGGTGGCACGATAAACTATTGGTTAGTGGAAACCTTAAAACACAATCTCATTTAATGAGAGAATATCCAATTTTACCCTGACGACGTTAACAGAACTGGGGTGATCAGCGAAGGAGGTGTCGAGTCAGGCACGTGTCCTGTGGATCAACAACGCAGGCCCGGTGGTCATCCTGTTACTGCTGAACGACTCCAGAAGAGTTTAAGGTGGCGGTGGCTAAAGAAAAAGGATGCTAGACTTTTACATGGAAAACTCTTAACACCACATTGAGTTAACAGAATTTACTGAGCAGAAACAAGACAAGAGACAAGACGCGATCTCTCAGTAACAGCATGGTGAACTTGAAGACACTGTTGACATCAGATGGTGCGGAGCTTGGGCAGGTCGACACCAGAGAGGACACTTTCAAGTTATTCCTTGTCACCCTCGCTGTTTATAGTAGTTATGTTGCCACTGAATGGCTGTTTACACACCATAAAAAATGTCGCCAGACTGTATCTATCCATAGAGGGAGGAAGAGGGAGAGGGTTCATTAGCATTGAGGAGTTGTACAGAGTGAGTGCAAATTCTTGTATGGCTACCCGAAAGAGAGCACAGAGAGGATGGTGCAAATGGCTTTAAAAGAGAAGGTGCTTGTTGAAGAAAAGAACCCCCAGGACTACCGGAAGAAAGACGAGAAAGTCAAGAACCAGAATGAAAAAGCCCTACATGGAGAGTTTGCTCGGCAAACTTCAGGTGGCTGGAGAGGAGTTCTGGAGATGGTTCAGGAATGATTTTATAAAAAAGGGAACAGAACTGATCCTCGCCGCTTAAGAACAAGCTTTAGGAGCAAATTTTGTCAAGCACAGTATACATATGATAAGACCTCTAAGACAACAATATGCAGATTTTGTGGTGACTCCACTGAAACAGTATATATGGCATATTGTCAGTGCATGAAGGAAGTTTGCCCAGAGAAAAAATAGGAATGAAGAAGTGAGGATAACTTGGGATATGACTATCTTTAAGGACAAGCGGCTGAAGTAGACTCGACCAGATATTACTGTGGTGCACAAAGGCAGACAGGAGTGGACTCTTATCTACATAACTGTGCTAAAGGACCAAAATATCTTTATTACAGAAGAGAAGAAGGTGTAAAGGTATTAAAACCTAGGATTCAAAATTAAAACAATCCAAAGAGTTTAGTGGCAGTAATACCCATCGTGATTAGTGCACTTGGAACTATCTCGAAGAATGCAAATGACTGGTGTGGGAGATTACGTCTGCCTTGCATTTTTGGAAGTGCATAGTTGTCAGCCATCATTGGTACCGTTCACATCTTCGGAAAGTGTTGTATCTCTAATCTGCAGGAAGCTGCTGAGAAATGGCTTTGAAAGACCCAGAAAAACACCACAGAACTGGAGAGGCGTTAATGATGATGCTGATGCTGATGCTGCTGGTGATGATGACGATGTCTATTCTGACGATGCCAATGATATTGCCGATACTTATAATCGTGATGATGATTATGATGATAATGATGATGATGATGATAATGATGATGATGATGAATAATGTGCTAATGATGACAACAATGATAGTCATGCACTCTTACTTTTCCCCAAATCTAGCTAGCCTAGCTTTTGAACAATTAAAAAGCAAAAAGGCATACCCACCACCACTGTATCTTGGTGTTTTCCATCAAATGGTAAGAATTCCTTGATGCACACCTCAAAGCTTCTAGAACTGACGTTCTCTAACCAAACATACACTGCGTCACTGGGTTTTGTAGCTCGAGTGTACTTCGCCGAGACAAAAACAAAGGGCCTCGCAGCAAAGCTCTGGAATTTTCATAATCTTTGTCAGTATATTAAAAAGGAAAATCACAGGAAAATCGTTTAAACTTTCTTGAATTTGAGAAATCGGTTTCGCGTACTCGATACAATGAATCATGAACACATATACTGAGGAATGAATAGATCCACACAGGCGTAAGATAAAAGGCAAAAACTATTGACCCTTGAACGTTACAGATGTTGAACTGAGACACAGTCCCGGGGACACAGTCTCAATTGGATTGACAACGTATGGACCTAAAAGAAAGCTGAAAAAATTACAACATAGATGACCTAGTAGTGCATAGTAAGAGTGCAAAAGGTAATATATATTTTCCGCGCTTTTCTATTTGCTTCTAACACTAACCTTTTTAAACATCACTTTGTCGCACTTGGTTTCCGTTGTCCACATTCCACCAAACGCTATGCTGCCAGATGTAACTTGTGGTTGATCTTGGAAAGCCATCCAGTTTATGATCCCAGTTCCATTTGATCCAGCACCAGCCTCACGTGCGCATACCTCAAAACCACGTGTACTGACAGATTGAACCCACAAGGCAGCAGGTGAATGAACACGTGAAAAATTCCTTCCATGACTCAGCGATATGTGCACACGAACCTCAAAAGAAAGTTTCAATTAATAATAATCATACAATATGCAAAAGATGGAGGGTGCTTTTGTTTGCGTAATTAACTAAATTTAGGAAGCGATTCATACTTTACCCGCTCCTTTTAATGTTGTAATGTTATGGTCATCATTGACATATCACGTTTAACACTTATGTCTTTCTTGTTGTATTTTATAGCATCTAGTTAAAAAAAGTTAACTGACCTTTTCTGATCCGCTAAATGTTTCAGAGAATGGAATTTTTGTGCAGCGTGGTAAAAGACAGTATTGAGGTGGTGAACATGCGCTGCTGCAGCTCCAGTCTTGAAAACTTTCTGATATGTTAAACTTTCCAGTTTGAAACGAGACCACTTCTCCTTCTGCGACAAACTAGAACAAACGAGTTTGCAGAGAACTATTCAGTTAACCTTCAAGTTTTAAAAATCTAAGGTTCGCTGCAACTTTCAACCTGCGCAAAGTTGGAAGCAGGCAGTTGCCTTTTTTAGAATAATAAAATTGTAATTGGACAGTCACTAAGAAAGTAGAGAAATCTGTTAGAAGCAGCTGGTGCGCTGCCTTTTTCGTAATAATGAAACTTTTACTTGGACAGGGAAATCTGCGAGTGCTGCTGACTTTACTTGTTCTCCTAGTCTGTAATTGTGCAGTTGTAAGCTCTCTGAGTTTTGGGAGTTTTTTTATTTTGTTATGGAGCCAGTTAAAGAATTTTCTGGCATTCTGTACTTCAGTGTATTTGAAATTGTGCCAGTGTTCTCGTTTACCTTTTTAAGCAAAAACACGTTAAAATCAGTACATTCAGTCGTTATTTTATCATAAAAGGGGTTGAGGATAAATGGATCAGTCGATCTACGGCGGAAAAAAATACACTCTTGTTTTTATATAAGAATATATTTTATAAGAATGTCGAGGCTGAAATTTGCGAAATTTTAAGAATATTTTAAGAATAAAGCCGAGGCTGAGATTTTGAAAAGGATAGATATAATTTTGTGTGTTGAAACATCTGTAAATACAGTACAATTTTATGTTTTTAACTTAACCATATAAAATTATTCCTTTCTCTGAACGGCGAAACTAGCCAACAAAACGAAAAAACCTGCACTAGCTATAGCAAAATGTTCAACGCTAATGACCGTTCGATGAACGGTACATGTGATACATATACATATACCCCAATAAATTCTAAAACGGAAATGTCATAAGCTATAATTTTTAACAATAATACAAAAATATTTTCAGCCTAAAATCGGCAGAAAAATAAGAATATTCAGCCTGGGCCGGAAAAACAACATTCTTATAAAAAAAAAGAGTGTAATTGGAACTGAAACAGGTGCAACGCGAGGGGAGGAAAGCGGTTTATAAATTGGAGTTTTTGGACACTTAAATTATCAAACAAGTTTAAGGGACCGGTCATTATTTATCGCGGGGGGGGGGGGGGGGGGGGGTCGGAGGATTTGGGGCTAAACAAGGTGAAATTTAGCCGATCCCCCCTTTGAATGTTAAGTTCACCGAAGTGATACCCCCTAATAACTTTTGATGACTTTCGCGATCCCCCCCTCATCTCCTCATTTTCCGAGCAAATTTGAGTGGTCCCCCCCTCTGAATCCTTCCAAATTTCTCAGCGCCCCCCCCCCCGCCCTTCTGGGTTCTTAGTTATGACTGATCCCCTCTTTGGGACTCCCAAAAATCAAGTGATCCCCCCTAAAATCCTCTGCCCGCCCCCAAGCTATAAATAATGACCGGTCTCTAACACTACATTATAAAAGAGCCAATGAATGCACTTCTGTTTGGCGGATTAAGGCAGAATCTTCCGTAAAGTTTTTCTTTAACAGGAATGGCTCATAAAAAGGAATTAAGTTACAACTTACGCCTTTTGGCTGATACACCAAGGAAAGCAACAGCAAAAAGCCGACTTCTTTCATCCTCTGAAAGACCCTATCTGGAAGATATTCAGGAGCAACGCCTAGAATTAGCTTCGTATCAATTGCAAGTTGCTTTAACAAATCAACTGCACAAAGTACTACTACAAGCTATGTTCCTATTTATCTGATCGACTTGAGTTGAACGCGTGAAAGCCAACTCCCGAATATTTGAACGAAGCTACAGTATTGCGACAGGCTAATGCTATTCAAACTGAGCATTCTAAGCGACAGGTCTTATATCACCTTCAATCTTCCGTGACAATTTCAAACAGTTTCACTTGTAGATTCGCCGGTTCGGTGTCTTTTTGGGGAATTGCAATGTAGTAGTTAGTTTTATTTCGAAGTTTTCGAAGTGGAGCTAAAATTATAAAGACTGTTCAAGTAGTATTCAGTAATAAGTTGTACGAGTGCCTGTAAGTTGTAAAGTTGATTGCTTGTTTTGTTTCCTAAATTGCATAACACAAAGCAATGGTTTTCCACTTACCTCTATCTTTTAAACTCTAAGTTTAATAATACCAACCAGCTGATTTGAAAGGTGCTTGAACGTTTAAAGAAGTCTATACAGCAAGCTCACTTTTACACTGGTGAAGAGAGAATTGAAGTCTAGCGTGTAGAAAGTTGATAGGCTTGTTTTTGTAAACACTAGAAACATGAAAATTTTGTCCATGGGCATGTTGTTTTCATTGCTTCAGGGCTCTTTCATTTCTTAAGACAGTACTCACTGGTTTATTTTTTACTTCCGCTTAATAACACACCCGTTTAAATCTGCTTTGTTTTTTGAAGATTAAAAAAAATACGAAAATTGCAAAATAGAAACATTTTTATTATTTTTTTCCCTCTCTGGCTGGGAAATTGAGCAGTTCGGATATAATTATACGAAATAAGCTTGGTGAACATGTTATTTCTGTGTAATTGTCTGCATAAATTTATATGATAAATTCTGTCCTCTAGCTGTTTAGGATGATATATGTCGGGATGCTCAATAAAATCTTTGCATTTTCAAAGGCAGTCAAAGACTCCTCCGTCATGAATAAAACGGTATTAAAATATTCGATCTGTGATGAAACAAATAGATCTATTAGACGAATATTAAACGTCCCCAACGGCGAAGAGCGTAGAGAAACAGATGTTTTCGCAGGCTACGTATATCACAGGCGGCAAGCTGACTCAGTGAAACTAGCCGGCATTGGTTTAGTTTGTAATGCCTGAGCTGATTCAATTCTCATCTGCCTCCCTCTTTCGATGTTTCTTATTCGACACCTGCAAGCCTTACCCTACCCCCGACGCTGTACACAAGAAAGCCGTGAACAGCACTCACGGAGGGAGTGAGGCGAAAGCTGTGTTTGTTTCCCAAACACTTTATGCTGTGTTTTAGTTTTCGGTTTGTTCTAGGAAATGTCTGAGAATCGTTTCAAAGTGTCGAAGGCCGATCCTGATGGAACTACAGAACCAAAGGAAACTTACAGACGAGTCAATCTGTCAACGGATATTGAAGTAAATATCATCGAGCCATGTATGTGACACTTTTTTTTTGTGAAATGTTAACCACGTGCGATCAAAATATCTCTCGTATTTTGTCACACTTCAGTTGTTCAGTGGATTTTTGTCAGACTGGCATTCTACTGTTGTTTTTCACTGGTTTAAGACGACAGTTTGAAAAGAAAATGGAGAAAATGAAAATGGAGTGGACTTCACATTGTTTTTTTTCGTGCTGGTAGTGTACGCGTATAAGGTTTCCTACGAATTTTTTATCCTGCAGCGCCGGAGAGATTAGGAAACAAGAGCTTCAAAGAGGTTTTGGTTCCCGGGAACGCGGGAAATCTAGCATTATATGAGGTATTTTAAAACTTTGTTGATATTGTCAATTAAATCTTGAGAGTTTTCTGGTTTAGAGCGTCTTTAACTTCATTACGCAAGTACACTGTTCATTTTATGATCCTTTCGATCTCTCTTTTGTGCAGGATGAAATTCAAAGACGACCGAGGATTTCGACGCTGCTCGAGAGTTTATCAAGATACGAAGCCGTGGCTCCTACTCAAGAAGACGATGAAGAAGGAGCTGAAGCAAAAACGACGACAGCCTCTCAGGTAAAAATGAAAATAAAAAGCCCATATTACTTTGAACAAAGCGGAGTCTAGTGATCGCTTTGTGTACATTTCGGTCTTATGCAAATTGTTCTTTGAAAATGGCGTAAATAATAGATAAGGTTAAAAGTTCACAACGCGGCGTAGTATTAAATATAAACTAAATAAGTTTACTTAAAACTAAATAAACATTCCCGTCAAAATATTAATGAAGTCTGAGGGTCGCCGCGAGAGTGTTCTTTTTAAGTAAATTTGTAATGAAACAAATAAGTTTAAATGAGCTTCTTCTAAACTAAAGCTTTGTTTTGTCTATGTGACAATTGAAGGTGTCTACACTAACAGTCGCAAATAGTTTTATTTGTGTCCCTCCGTCAGTCGATCATGATTTGCTAAAACATTTCCTAATTTGCTTCTCCCAATAAATCAATAAAATTACTAGAACACTGTCATATTTTTTAGAAAAATATTGTAAATTGGTAAGCTGTTTACAAATTTCATAATTTAAAATACATGTTAAGTGATGGAAAAATCCTCCTCTATTACACGCATATAATGCAGCATTGCTCCGATGTTATTCTGAATTTAAGCATTGTTAGTGATCATTAAGGGACGGACCATTAGAAAAGTTATGGGGGGGGAGGGGAATTTTCGAGCTGCAGGAATTTTTTTTCGTTACCAAATTCCTTGTATGAATTTTTTTCAGGCCCTTGCATGAATATTTCTTAGGGTTAATTGGCTTGCAAGAATTTTTTTTCATTTAATTTTCCCTTGCGCGAATTTTTTTTTTGTACTTCGCCCGCCCCCCCCATAAGTTTTCTAATGGTCCGTCCCTAATTTAAACTTAGAGACCAGACACAGAAAGACAGCCTCTATTAATAATTAATCATTAAAGTAAGTGCAAGAAATATTTAGAATTTAAGCCCCTATCTGCATCTGCCTAAAATTTTGTGGCCCCTTCATGGGAGTGGCCCTCTCGTACAAGAGGTCTTACTATATGGTATATAGTGCTCGGAAATGCACTCGACTTTGTATTTTTGTGTTGCCTATAGAGATCTTTTGTAAGAGGTCCCTGTGGGAGGGGGTGTACATATGTCCAGGGTTTGAGCTGTAGCATTTGATCATGGGGGGACAAATTGTCCCCCCTGGCTAAAATTCTGGGGGACATTTTTATTTTTAGATGGACAGAAATTTGTACACCCTTCTGCTGATGCAAAGGGGTTTGTCCTCTTAGATTTCCGACAAAAATAGCAGAACATCGCCTCCTTTTCATAGCGCTACCACGTGTGATCTCTTGATTTTTTCAGTTTACTTCGACCCTCATCCGGCCGTTTCTTCCTGATTAACACACTGATCTTCTTCTGTATCATTTTTCTCTGATTCACCCTGGCTTTCCTTTGGAGCAAAAAAGCTTTCTAATGTTCAAACACGTTTTCGATGTGACATGTTAATGATTGCCAGGCGCATTCACCACGCTTGGTTGAGCATGAGACGTACGTGTTCAGTAGAGCGCATGACTGAAATGTGACTTTAGAATGAACTTTAAATGTGCGATAAAATATATTTTCCAAGTTCTGTTTTAGCTTGCAATTTCTGTACTGAAATAAATCTCTTCATGTGTGCTTCCTTTTGAGCTTTTTCCCCTAAATTTTGAAGGGGACAAATTGTCCCCTTGGCCATTTTTTTAAGGGACAATTTTAATTGTAGTGCAGGATTGGCACAATGGCGCGCGGCCTGGCTCAAACCCTGCATATGTCCCTGGTCTGAATTTCAAAACCTGTTGTTTTTTAATTTTATATTGTTGTTTATATTCTCTCTGAGCTTTGTTGCTGTTACAATTTCGACTGATGTTTGTGTTATTTGTTGCTATTTTATCTGCCACAGTCACAGCAGTCTGTCACTTGTCAGAATTTTACCGTAAGCGAGGTGGTTGCAAATGAAAGTTCCAATGCTTATAAATTATTTTATGCAATGAATAAATAAATTTATCAAAGAAACATTTTAATAAGCTCATTATTAAGCCACATGTGTTACATAATTATGAAACCAAACAAGAACATAAAACATAGCAGAAGTTTTATTCTCAGGCTACTAAAAATAAATTGTTAATAATTTTTGTGCTTTACTTTTTGACTATAGTCAGCCAAAATGGGTACGCTTATGGGTGTGTACCTTCCTACAATCCAGAACATCTTTGGTGTAATCCTGTTTATACGTTTATCATGGATAGTGGGGGTCGCAGGAATACTACAAGCTTTCTTAATAGTCTTCATCTGCTGTTGTTGTGTAAGTAAATCACTCTAAGGCCAGAAAACAAGATTCTCCCAATTCAGTGTATAATCATACCTGTAAGGAAACAAATCAGACCCAGTTTCGTGGTTGTCTGCTTTTGTTAATCACTCATACTATTACCAACAGGATTGGACTCCAATCAGTCCTTAATTGCCATTTCAAATTTTACTTGAAAATGGGTCTACATTGTCAAAGTCTGCTCCTTAAAATCTCTTTATGATTGCTAAAATTCTAGGAAACTCAAGAAAAAAAGCTCTAAACCTTGCATTATTCAAGTGCTGAGCGTTAAGTTCTTGTGTAAATGCTAAGATTTCCTAGTTGCCCAAATGGCGAGAATAAGTTGCCAAGGGCCACCTACTAGTGGCACTGCAGCAAAGCTCTGTTCTTTGTTTTCTTTTCCCTGCTCATTGTTGATACAGAAAGGGGGTAGCTATAGATGGGGGGTTAGGTGGGGGCAATATACCTGCTGACTTCTGCTAAGTCAATTGTGTGAGATTTTTGTCTTGTCAAAACTGGAATTTTCGATAATGTTCCAGTGACTTCTGAGGATTTCCAATGATTTTCCAAAGGCTTCTGAAGCATGCCGGCAATGTCCACAGATGTCCAGGCAATCTTTGAGCTTTTCCGAAGCTATTTAAAAGGCAACAATTTTAGCTTGTTGTGATACAACTCAGGGACCCAAAGTGAACATTAACGACCTTTTTGGAATAATTTTGGGATATTGAATTTAAGTTTGGTTACTAACATGCATTAATTAAAAAACAATTTGTCTGGATTTGTGAGTAAAGCATGATAAATAATTATCACCTTGATGCGCAAGATCAATCAGTTTTGTTTGTCAAGATAACTTTGTCCGCAATCTTGTGCAGAGTGAAGAGATCTTTCAAACCATACCAGAATGAGCACAATTCAGTCAAGGACACCAGAGAAAAAGGCAAAAAACCATCATGTAGCATTGACCTAAAAAACACTAAGAGAAAAAAGCCAATAATGCATGTAACATTGACCTGAAAATTTCCCTGAAAATTTTGTTCCACTACCTTCCTACCTTTCCTTTCATCTAATCCTAAGATCCTAAAAGCTTTCCGAAAAACTTTTCCCACCAAAATGAAGCCTGCTAAATGCGAAAAGAGAAAAAAAAATTGAGGCAAGCTAGAAAAGCGAAAAAGAGGGGAGGAGAGAACGCGAAAAGTAAAAGTCAAAAAATGTTCCTTTCTGCACATGCCCGAACTTTGGAAGCTAATATATGGCATCTGGATTAGAAGGCCACAAAGTGTACAACCTGTAGAAACGGCTTTGTGGTAAGTTTATAGCACCACAGTGTCCAGAAACCCTCAACTAGCTTCAAATCGCGTTTTTCGGCAAAATTGCCATAGGTGAATGGGTTAATATGAAAGCTAACTTTATTTTCTGTTTTTCTCCTTGATTTTAGACAATGCTGACTGCCATTTCCATGAGTGCCATAGCCACCAATGGAGTGGTTCCAGGTGCTAATTTGCTTTTCTCCCCTAATTTTACAAATTATAAACAAGCACACAGAAGGCCATTTTCTATATATTGCCTGCAGAATGTGATCCTTCCTCTTAAGGGACACAATAGGGCCATTTATACGAGGAAAAATAAGACGCGTCTTACATAAGACGCGTCTTAAATAAGACGCGTCTTAAATAAGATGCGAACTTTCTGTATAAACGGCACATTTCGTCTAAAATAAGACGCGGCTTAGCTAAGTCGCGTCTTATTAGGTAAGACATGCTCGTATAAATGGTACAGTTCGCGTCTTATGTAAGACACGTCTTATTTTTCCTCGTATAAATGGCCCTAATGTTCTAGCTTACTGATAAGATACATAAAGCAAACTGAATTAATTTTGATGAGTGGAAACTACATTGTGTATTTGCATTGGGAGATGAGTGAGGTGGATTTGGGAAACTGTACACATCTAGATATGCCCCTGCTTTATAGTTGACTCTGGTAATGAAATTGTTGATTAATAGACCTGTGTGTAATCACTCATTGTAACTCCGTTTTTGTGATTGCCTTAGGTGGAGGTGCCTATTTTATGATTTCACGAGCTCTTGGCCCTGAGTTTGGAGGAGCTGTAGGGCTTCTGTTTTATCTTGGAACTACGTTTGCTTCTTCTATGTACATACTAGGTGCTATTGAGATACTTCTGGTAAGTAGTGCAGTCAGGGTTTTCTGGCTTGACCTCTTGTCTTGTAAAGATAAGGTGAATAATTATATTGCCTGTATATGAATAAACCTTCAATATAGACACTTCCAAGTCTGTGCTCTTAAGCTCCAATCCTGGGAAAACTAGGTAGTCCAGCAATTTTTTGGAAAACTAAGAAATTATTTTTGGCACCCACTGGAAGAAGTATGTGGTAACTGTGGGTAGAAGGGTGGGGGTGGTTGTTGAAGGGTACTTGCAAGTAATGCTAGGCTGATGGAAAGATAGGGATGTGCTGCTGGATGGGGTCACATGACTGGATGGACTGTAATGTCATTACGTATTTTTCAGTAGAGTTACTAGAATGGGATCACACATTTTTGGGTTTCTAGGAGTAGTGATTCAAAAAATGTGTCAGTTTATTTTAGGTTGACCAAGTTAAAACGCTCTGTAAGCTAAATGCATAAACAGAAATCAAATTACATTTGCCCTAAAGTGACTAAGATGGGGTCTATAACTGGCTGCAGAATAGACCATAATAGGGTTGGGGTTCTGAGAGGTCTGTGACACATACCAAACAAAAATTAAACCAAGTTCCCCCCCTTCCCCCCTCCCCCCCTGGATGTGAGGGGTGCTATGCTAACTGACTGAAAAAACGGTTCAAAGAACTAACTTGGTGAAGTTCAGATCCAGCCGTCTAGAAATCAACTCAGTGAGTCATGTAGGAGTACTGACACTTGCTTAACCCAGCCACTTAAGTGTCTGTTCCTGTATGTGTATGTCCAAAATGACCAGAACTCTGTGGTTTAGGTCCATGTACTTTGTAGGGAGTTTTTACTTTTAGCCTAAGAATCTTTGTTTGTTGTTCTATAGATACTCTTTCTTTCCTTTTTTTCAGACATACATGGCACCGTCAATGTCTTTATTTGGAGATGTAAGATCAGGAGGTGGAGCCACATCACCTGTAATGCTAAATAACATGCGTGTTTATGGCTCCATTCTCCTTGTTTTACTTGTCGGAGTGGTTTTTATTGGAGTCAAGTATGTCAACAAGTGTGCATCTCTTTTTCTGGCCTGTGTTTTGTTCTCGATTCTGGCCATTTATCTTGGGTTCTTTTCAGCTCAAGCACGAGAAATGCCAAGGTAATACTAACAAAGAGTCACACAATTATTTTTTTAAAGTTTATTAGAGGTACCATAGGAAACTTTTTTTCTTGGCTGGCTGATGGACCAAGATGTTCGTTGGCGAAATAATTATTCTCTTTGTCATTTCAAATACAACTTTGTTTTTCCACATAAAATAAGTGTTTATTGCTTTGGGGCCAAAATTTGATCATCTAGTTTGCTCTTGAAGTGCAGCTAGACAATCAGTCTCATTTTAACACATTAACAAGTGTTCTGTTCATTTTTAAGTTGTATGACTCGACTCTTGATCGATCACAAAGTGTGACCATTGATTCAAAATGATAGCTTTATGATTAATGCTTTCCTTATTTGATGCTGTTTAATAACACAGTTTGCATAAGAATATAGTTTACTTAGTTTCTCTGCAAAAACAAAAATATATAGCTACACAAGAGTGTACAAGGAAAGAACATACAATAAAAAAAGGTTACAGTAGTCATAAAATACATTGAAAGGTATAAATAGATAATTAATAATCGTTTTGATCCCCACGGACTCCATTAATTCTTTTTTTTCCTCTCTTCTTCCTAGAATTTGCTTGTTAGGTTCCAAGTTGTTAGCCAGTACCAGTTATCATGAATGTTCAAGAAATGACACATTGCTCAGTCAGGCATATGGTAATGATGAACAGTTCTGGCGAAGCAATCCACTGTCATATGTGAATGGAGTGCCTGGAATCACCAGTGATTCTTTTGTTGGTGAGTACCTTACAAAAATAAACCGTGTCTTCAAAAGGGGGCCAGAAATTAAAGAGAACATAACCTGCAAGGACTACAGACTTATTAGGGACCTTACGAAACTACTACGGCGACGGCAACGGGAACGTCTATTAAAGCGCAATTGTTGCTATGAGCAAAACAACAACTCTGCTCTTGCCACACGCTTTTTCGTTCATTTCTTTCCCGGTTTTGCACAACTACAATGTGAAATGAACAAATTTCAAGTTGACTTGAGAAAGGGAGCGGCGAGGAACGCGGTCCCCTCTCTTCAGTTCCAGACTTGGCATGAGGGAGAAAAAGTTTCAAAGGATGGGTAGTCTCTATTTTTCAGTGACGTTTTCATTGGCGTCGCCGTTGTGGGATTTAGTATTATTTACTGGCGTGAACCCAAGGGGAGGGGCGGGGGCGGGGGGGGGGGAATACTCAAGAAAGTTTTATATGGCAAGACTCCTCCCCAAGGTCCAACCCCTTACCCTAAGGCTTTTATCCGTATAATTTTTCCAATTTTGACAGAAGATGTACCCCTTTCGTTTATGAACTGTAATAACAAAACAGCAAAGAATAAAGACTCGAGTATTCCAGATTTTTCGAACGGACAATTCCGTTTTTCTTCGAGGTACAGTTCATTGGTTTTTGTTAAAAAGCAACATTTGGATACCGTCATAAATATAAAAGTCCCTTTATTATACCCTCTATTGAACAAATGGTACTCCTTGCACATACCTTGTTTAGGCCGTTATAGGGAGCACTCACTTGGGGTATAAAGATCATTATTCTCAAGTCTTACAATTTTGCTGGCCCTCTGTATAAAACACTTACTTTCAGGCATGGTCTGTTGAGGCATTTTTTTTTAAAAAATTATTTTTATCATTAGGGAGCTTTAGATTTAAGAACGAGAACGAGTACGAGTACGAGATTTAACTTAAAGTTTTTGCTTGTGCTCTTAAAAAAGGACACCCCGGAAAGCTTCATATGACTTTTTTTCCACCCAAAACTTTAGTACGGTTATTTATATTGAAGGAGGTTAAGCCCTCTCCCGATAGCAAAATGATAAAACTGCTTATTTTTGATATCTTGTCCCCGCCACTATGACATTCTCGCTAAAATTGCAGTAGAATGACGACGGTTACCACATTTTCTCGCCAAAATGACGCTGGTTCACGCTTGAGCAATACTCAGATTGAGAGAATCTCCTACTCATAGTCATCCTCGTCTCAGAGTCTAAAGCTCCCCAAACCCCTAATTACCTGGTAGTCAACACAAAGTTGGCATTGATTAAACAAGGACTTTGATCTTTAAATTAATGCCAACTTTGTGTGAATTGCCATAGTGAGTACTCAACGTACATAAACTTATCTGGGATTCAATCAAAGATTATGTTTCTGTAAAAGAGACTCATTCTGTGAGTGAATTGAGATGGGAAGTTTCTCTTTATCACCTTGAAGCCGGTTTGGAGTCATGGGTGGCCATTTTATATTGTATGCAAAGAGTAAATTTTGAGGATCTACGATAGATGGAAAAAAGAAAGAGAGGAAAGAGGTAAATTGTATGCAAAAGAGGAAGTCCGGAACTTTAAATTGGTTCTTTTCTGCAGTAGTGTAGTCATACCCATGGTCTTTTGCTGCTGGAGTTTAGGTGACCCAAATATTACTAGAATTGAAAAGAGCATTCCTGGTCAGATTAGTAACTGGCCAAGTTCATGGCTTATGACATTTACAAATGAGTGTTAATGAAGATGTGACTGTTGCCCATTCTTGCTGCGCCAAAAAGAAAACAAAAACAAAACAAAACAAAAACAACCTTTTCCCTCCCAATTAATTACTGGGACCATTTTGCTTACCTTTGCATGCTCGTTTCTAAATTCGAGAGTTGTTTCAATGATATCTGATAATAGGAAGTTGAGATGAATAAAAAAAATGATGACTTAAGCTGCAATTGACCTATCGCAACAAAATTTCACTCTTTGTCACGGCAGAAAAAACTAAATGTTGTGTCCATTTTTTGTGATCAGCATATAATAATCTATTTGCATTGCTTATAGATAACTGGAACAGTAAGTATCTGAAAAAAGACGAGGTTTCGCCCGGAGTAGAGGCTGGTGCATATGAAGGAGAAGTGAGGTCTGATGTCACAACCTCATTCTTTATTCTCTTGGCAATTTTCTTCCCTTCTGTTACTGGTAGGTAATTGCACAATTTTAGGTCTCCTAAACGTTTTGTACAGTGTCTACCTCCAGCATTATTGATTTTTACGGAAATGGAGCGATTTCACCTGTATAACTTGAGTACAATTATGGCAGATTTATTTAACGATTTATGAGTAGTTTCTCCGTGTTGCGGACGAGTGCAGTCAGCAAATGACGTAACACAAAAAGTTGAAAAGACACTCAACAATACCAACACCACAACACAAAAGCGAATCACAATGGTTTCCGCAACACCAAGAAAGACCCGATTTATCTAACCGCACCTTCAAAATTTCCTTTTGTCTTTGTTGTCTAGTGCAATTTGGACCAGTTGTAGGCTCGTTTTCAGGAAGTGGAATTTTTCTGGGAATAGAAAGAAGTGTGACGTCACGTTACCATGGTAGCAAAATTTTTAGATCACAACAAAAGGGAGCTTAGGCAACAACGACGGCGACAGCAACGAGAACGGCAAAAAAACAATAAGTCTATATTAGGAAAACAACAACTTTGCACGTGCATCGCGCTTTTTGCATATTTTTTAGCCATCGTTGCATGACTGCGACATGAAACGTCTTAATTTCACGCGCCCGCTTTACGGAGTAAGAGAACATAACGCAAAAAGTTTCTTTTTCGCTTTCTAAACTCGGGTATAGTGCGTTCGGATTCAATCCAGAAAATTTCGCTGATATTTGACAAAATCGTTGAAGTTTGAAACAGTGCGAATTTACGTTTTTAAGTGAATTTTTGGTTTGTTGTCATCCAAAAATTTTGCTAACATGGCAACGTGACGTAATGACTTCTCCTTTCTATTGCATGCTAGCTAAATTCCTAACTTGCCACTTTCAGCCTAATCAGTTCCTTACTCGCGGATTTTTACCGTGTACACCTGTATGTATACATTTATGATTTTGTTGTTCTAAAGGGATAATGGCAGGCTCAAATAGATCTGGTGACTTAAGAGACGCACAGCTGTCTATTCCCAAGGGAACAATAGCAGCAATTGCAACCACATCTGTGGTCTGTATCCTTTTATGTCCTTGTTAAAGACAGTACTGTTTGCTCTGAGAAATTATCGGGAGTGGCCAAGGTTTCTTACCTTTCAGACCAGCTGAACCCAAAGGACTAGCAAGAGTTACTGTTGTACTTGTGAGTTGATTGTTTCTCATATCCCTCGGGCACTGCGATCCAGAATACTTGTGTTTTGTTATGATCTTCTCCGTTAAGAACTACATGCACTTCTACAGAAATCGTGATCTCAAAGGTCTCTACCTAAAAAATCAAAAAATACTGTTGCACAAAGTTGTGAACGTAACCTAAATCCAAGCATCAAAGGGTGACTAGTCATTGAACCATAGGACAAAGTCTCCCATCTAAAACTACCTTAACTCTGAGACTCTTATTATTATTACTATAACCCTCCCCTTGGTGGTTAATACTTTACCAGTAACTTTCCTTCGAGATGCGTATGCATATCCGCAGTTTGCGTGATAACATATCTTATAACTTAATTTGTTGATGACTCATACTCAGTCTGTAAATCTTTCTGGCCTGTTGGATGTTACACAGACCTTAACAAAGGTTCAGATCTCACATCAGTGCTGCTGTTTGGTGCAACAGTCAATGGAGACCTGCTAAGAGACAAGTACGTACGATGCTCTGCACTTCAATTACCGGCCCAGATTAAAAAAAAAGATCCAGATTTTTGCACAACAAAATACTAAAGCTAAACACAACCTTTTGTAGATTTGGTCGCAGTATTGGCAGTGTCCTGGTTGTGGCTGAGATTGCCTGGCCTCCTACAAAATGGGTGATTCTTATAGGTTCACTTCTGTCTACTGTGGGTGCAGGGATGCAGAGTTTAACTGGGTGAGTATCATCGCGTTGGTTATTTATGCTACTGTAGTAACAACGGCATGGGTTACCGGCCGTTTCGCTACAAAGCCATTTCGCTGCCTATCAAAGTACGGTTTCGCAGCAAAGTCTTTCCGCATCAGTTTGGAAAACATGCAAAAAATGGCGATGTTTTGAAAGATGTATAAGCTTAAGTTTTTCTTAGCCATGACGTTTTTGCAAACTTAATGGCTTTTGAAAGAGCCGTTAGTTCCGCGTTACCCTCAATGCACGACATCAGACTAATCAAGTCCGAGACTTCAGGATTTCCTTGGCGTGGCTTATGTGTAAGATTGCAAACATTTTATATTGCCTGTCAATGGGTTCGTGTAGTTTCTTAGTCTTGCAGATGTTGTGACCGGCACTAAATGATACAATAGAAAAATTGAATAGATACTTAACTAGACTGACAAATATACCACAACACCGTTTGGCTTCAATCTCATGGTGTTTACGTGAAAGAAAACTAAATGTTCCTCAGTCTAACTGTATTTCGGGCCGGCTTTAGTGCTCACAGTTGTATGAGGTAGTGTTTGTTACCATGATTGTATGTTTTGACGGGAGCTTAAACAACTACGACAATTACGGCGGCGAGAACTTAAAAAAAAGCACTGAAAAACGAACGAACAAATTATTGGATCATTATGAACAAAACAACAGCTCTGCACGTGCATCACACTTTTTGTTATATTTATAAGTCAAGTGCACCAGACTCGGACAAAGACGTGAACTTCTTAACGCGACGTTCTATAAGGAGGAAATGAACACTAGACGATGAATTTTCCTTTCTCTATTTTAACTTTTACGAAATCAACTGCAGGAAAATTCGCCTACATTTGACAAATTGAGGGAGGCTAAAGTTTGAGTGAACATAATTACACTTTTTGCCCTCATCGTCGTAGTTGCTTCAGCTCTCTTTTGTGTCATTAGGTTTTTAAAAAGATGTTTCAGGTTTTTAACCATTAATTTCGGCACTGATTTTTACAGGGCACCTCGTCTGCTACAGGCCATAGCTAGAGACAATCTGATTCCGTTTCTGAACATATTCAGTTATGGCTCCAAGTCAGGTGAACCCACACGAGCCTTGATGCTTACAGCATGTATTGCCGAGATTGGAATATTGATTGCCAACTTGGACTCAGTCGCGCCTATCATAACCATGTGAGTTTTTCTCTTTATTCCTTCCTCTATTCGCCACTTTGAGGTTGCGTGGGGGACCGGGTCGACATGGTTGTCAAAGTGCATTGTGGGACTCTTTTTGGGGGACGAATTTGCCGCCATGTTGAAAATGCTTCTCCCAAAACAGTCCAACAATGCACTTTGACAACCTCGATCCGGTCTCCCGGGCAACTTCAAAATGGTGATTTGTTATCAGCCTCGGTTCCCACGAAGAATGGAATGCAGAAAACCCCCTCCATAGCACCTCAAAAATACAGAGTAAACTACAGGAAAACCTAGCGGATTTTACTAAGAAAATCGAGAGATTAAGGGTCACGTTTACGGCAAACGGCAAACGGCAGATTTAAGTTGAGAATTTCTCAGAATAGAAATAAGCAGATAAAAACTGTCCAGAACATTTCTTATGAATAAAACTGGCGTGAAACTACTTATTTTTGAGTAGAAGTAATAAAAAAGGGAAAACTTGGTCATGTGGTACAAATTAGTGTAAACGTGAATCTTAATCTCTCTGATGTCGAACAAAAAGGATGGGAATATGTTCGAAAGCAGAGGAAGACTGGGGAGAGTAAACCTTGCAGTGACGTCAACATTTTCCCGATGACAACATTTGACTGCGACTACCAGAATTTATTTCGTTTTCGTTTTTAATTTAAATTTGTCAATTCCGCTGAGGTTTAGAAAGCAATAGCCCTAATTTGCTCAAGAGAATAACAAATTGAGGATTCTGGTAGTTGTAGTAAAATGACGTCATCGTCGAGAAGGCACAACCTGGGGGAACTCTTTTGTTTTACGTCGATAACTCGTGACAGTAATAACTGATAAACTTGAGGTCGACGGTGCGCTCATTTTATCCCCCTCTCTCCATCAATGCTCTGTTTTATTGGTGTTTAAAGCTAGTTAAAGCTAGACAGAAAGGAGAGAAGTTGAAACAAGGATGTCATGTCAAGGGGAATCGAACTCGGGACCTCGCACACCGAAGGCCGCGCAAGTTAGCTATAATCATCTCATATCCAACAAGTGCGAGTGGAATAATTGTTTAATTAAAAACGCCAACAAAATATCGAGAATTCTTCCCGACTTTATTTGTAAAAGCAACCGATTTTCAGCTTGTTTTTAATTTTGAGCAGATGCGTACTGTTACCATATTTGGGGAGCATGGTACAGTGGCTCATATAACATGATGGCTAAGCCAACAGGAGCTCTAGAATTGCATTATCCAATGATTCAGTTTTTAATAATTCCTAGTATTTTTGAGCAGTTGTCGTGGGAGGCGTCTATTAGACAGCGGGTGTTTACTAGAGAGGGGTGTCCAATACAAATTTAGCATTGTAGGGGTGGACGTTTATTAGATAAGAGGCCTTTATTTTAAGAGTGGGCGTCTATTAGATCATTTACAGTAATGGTAGCCGCTGCCCTTTTTGTAGTGGTCTCAAACCAACAGTAACTTATGCCATAACTGAATTAGTTTTTTTGTAGGAGATTTTAATCACCTGGGCCCAGTTGTTCGAAGGCCGATTAGGGCAAACCTAGGGTTAAATTTTAACCCGGGTCTCTCTTTCATTTCATCTCTTTTTAGAGTACCCAATCATCAAATTGTCAGTGACAAAAAGAATTGAACTGAATTTGCTTTTTCAGCTTTCATATCTGAATTCAAATTTCGAACTAACCCTGGGTTATCTTAACCCAGCTTTAAACAACCCGGCCTTGACATTTATTATAAACTAGTACTCCTGCATGAACTTGATGACTGTATTCTGCTTTTAACAGGTTCTTTTTGATGTGCTATGGGTTTGTCAATTTGGCCTGCGTGCTGCAGTCTTTGCTACGAACACCCAACTGGAGACCGCGATTCAAGTATTATCACTGGTAAGTTGAATTGATCTTAGAATGGAATAATAGCTATGTGTGCGATAAAGGAGTCGTAAACAAGCCTACGTATGCTGTACTAAAAACACCAGGTTGACCCCCTTTGGAGACGAGGTGCCAAGCAATACCTCCACTGGTTACAGCTGTTTTACAACTGTTTATACCATAGTTAGAACTCGCCTCTATGTAACAGCGCAGCGAAACACGACAATAAGCTGAAGCACTGGTATTAATCCCATTGTGGGCGAAAATGTATTTGCCGAGATAGCTACCTCTCAATGACAATAATATTTAACAAACAGACAACAATTTTCCATGGTCTGTACTCTTATAGTCCATAGAAATGACGTTGAAATGTTCAAATCTTAAGTGGAACCACGAGCCGTAGGCGACTGGTCTCACTGCAAAGTTTCATATAGTTTATAGGGGGCCATCAGCTTATCAGCTCCTATTGTAACTGTCAAATGTTACCCTCTAAATAAAGTCTCCACTCCAATCCACGGGTTTATTATAGTATATCTTTGTCTTTACCAGGTTCACGTCATTCCTAGGCATATGCCTGTGTTTAGCTCTTATGTTTATCTCCAGCTGGTATTATGCTTTGGTTGCTATGATTATAGCTGCTGCTATTTACAAGTACATCGAATTTCAAGGGTAAGAACTTCTTTTAGCACTGTGTCACCTTTTGAGCCATTCTAAGACCATTTCCGAGCAGCCACAAGCCTTAGTTTTAAAGTGGGGGTGTGTGCAAAGTCTTTGATATATGAAATTCAAAATTATTTTTTCTTCTTTGGTAAGGATAACTCATTTCGACAATAAGGGTGTTGAAATTACCCCATTTTGAAAGTGGTGGGGCCAACCTTCACCTATTCCGGCCAAACAAGGTTTGTGATTGGCTGGGAAAACAATGGGGATAGTGAAATAACAATGCCCCTAACCCTGAAAACAATAGGAAGTGCAGGTTATAGGGTCCAATAAAATAAGAGGTTTGAATGGGTGCAGGTCAATCAAAGTTATAGCTTTGCGCTTGGGCTTTATCTTCTAGGGAGCTTAAGCAATAACAACGGCGACGGCTACGAAAACGTCACTTAAAAAGTGAAGTAGTGCTGCCTCAAACTTTATCGTGCTTATTCCATCTCACTTAATTGTTCAAACGTTGGTAAATTTCTTTGGAGTGTAATGCTAAAGGATTGTATCAAAGATCAGGAAAAGAAAAAGAAAATTGTTGTTTTGTGTTCCCGTCCTTGAAAAAATGTGAAATTACGCACTTTCACGTTGTGGTAGTGCAACGAAGGCTACGAAATGTACAAAAAAAGCGTGAAGCACGTGCAAAGTTGTTATTTTGCCGTTCTCGTTGCCGTGGTTGCTTAAGCTCCCTGTTAGTGACTTTAAGATCCAACTACGCGGACGGCAACGAGAACGTCGAAAAAACAATAGGTTTTATATTAAGCAGAACAACAACTTTGCACGTGCATCACGCTTTCTGTACATTTCTTTGCAAGTTTTTGCACGACTACGACGCGTTTTATGGACTACGTAAACAAGCATCGGCGAAATTTTATTTCTTTTCCTGAACTTGGGTATGGTCCCTGTATTCAATTCCTGGAGGGTTGGCTACATTTGACAAAGTAAGTGGGTAGAAAAAAGTGACGTTCTCGTTGCCGTCAAGGCGTTGAATCTGAAAGTGTTTATTACAGTGAAACCTGGATTAAGCGGACACCCTCGGAAATGCTGTAGTGTCCGCTTAATACAGGGTGTCCGCCTAATACAGTTTTCGATAAATAACGTTATATGAGATGTCAAATGCCACTCAAATGAACAGTGGAAACGTCTACAATACTCCCAGAGACTATGACGATATACGTTTGCATTAATTTCTTTATCAAAGTTATCCAATTGATCATAGTACCATAAACATAGATTTCAACTCAAATTTGAAGAAATCAGATGAGTGAAACAAGTTCTATACAAACAAAACGAAATAGAAAACAATATAGTACGGTGAAACTAATCAAATAAGTTCGTCAAGTCAAGTTTTTAAATGTAAAAATAGAAAAAAATGTGGGTGGCGATTCGAGGCAATCTTTCGCATTTCCGGTGTCTGGCATGTTGGGTGGTGGAATTTAATTACAATGTCCGTTTAATAGAGGTTGGCAACAATAGAAATGACCATTTCAGGTAGTTTTTAGGTGTCCGCGTCCGCTTAATAGAGGTGTCCGCTTTATAAAGGTTTCATTTAAAGTAAATAAGGAAAATAAAGTTTGGGACTTCGGCTGCTGTCCGCTTAATAGAGGGTGTCCGCTTAATACAGGTTTCACTGTATATGGCTGAATTCGTGAGCGGGCAAGATGAAGCAAATCCTGCGTTCTGATTTGCTACCCGAGAGGGCAAGATGGGCCCATCTCGGGATTTCCCGCGTTGGTCCCGCAAGAAAAAGTTCTCTTATTGGCCATATAATGTATCCTTAATTGACTAACTTGTACGATTAAGATGGCTTTGACTGGCCTCGGTCTTTTTTTTTGCGTTTTTTTATTGACCTCGAGTTCGTCTCGGTCTATAAAAACGCGAGCATGTTATTGTAGCAAACCTGGAAAATTTAATAAAGTGCATGATTTTGAATCCCTTGCTATTTGCAGCGCAAAGATCGAGTGGGGAGACGGATTTAGAGGACTGGCTCTGAGTGCTGCCAGATACAGTCTACTGAGGCTGGAGGAAGGTCCACCCCACACTAAGAACTGGAGGTTCGTAACAGTTTTTAGTAATATCCAACTAGTGGTCTATTATCAATGCTGCGTTCTGATTGGTTGAGCTACTACTAGGCGATATGTTATGTTTTTGGCGGCAAAAAGGGATTAAAGTCCAGCTTTAACTACCTAAATTTTTTTTATTCTCGATATTTTTGACCAACTAGTTGGATTTTACTAAAACAATTATTCCTCCCGCCCTCATGGCCTCTGAGTCAACAGCCCATTCGGCCTTCGGCCTCATGAACTATTGACTCAGAGCACATTCGGGCTCGAGAAATAGTTGTTAAATAACTCACCCACCTAACAATATACACTTAATGTCAGGTGCCGAGGGAAACCGTTAGTTTTGTTTTCCCTAGAGTCCTGATGTTTCGCTAGACGAATTAATAAATACTTTCTGGGTTAATTTCTTGAATTTCGACTCTACATCACTCGCTGATAACCGTGAGTTAACGGAGCTGCGTTGTATTTTAAGAACTATAAAAATAATGAAACAAAAATCTAACGAACACAAAAATACAAGAGAACTTGGTTAGAAGATAAACAAAACTGAAGAAGATTTCAACGAATTGCATGCGTTGTTTAAACTGTTCAGCTTTTAAGCTAACAGTATTTCAGCGGGGACCCCTGTTGTTTGTTATTTCGAAGGAGATACGTGTTTCTCACCAAGCTGTTATTTTTTCATTTGGAAGAAAATTCTTCGCTGTTGTTGATTATCATTGTTAGTCATTAGGCACGAAAAAAGGAAACAAAAACAAGCAGCAACAACAAAATGGACTAAGCTGCCGTGACAGAATCCTGTAAAGGCAAACGAAATGTCTAGGTTTTCCCACCGGCTGTAATCGCCTGTAAAGAACAATGGAAAATGTAGACCTAAACACACTGTGGTGTTTTTATTGTTTCTTTGCAGACCTCAGATTCTTGTTCTGTGTGCCTTGAAAAAGAACTATGAACCAGAGTCAAGGCGCTTGTTGAGCCTGGCTAGTCAACTAAAACATGGTTAGTATTTTTCTCCGGATTGTTATTTCTTTTTATCTTGTTTGGTGGGTTATTTTTTTCTGTGCACAAATAATTTTCAACTATTAGGTTGACCAACAACTAGGGTATGGGGTGCTACCAGAGTCAAATGAAAATTGAAACCAAACTTTTAAAATTACAGTTTGCCGGTGAAATTATAGGAAACGAATGGTGAAGAATCTTTATTTTAGTGGTCACTCCAATGATTTTATCCACAGGGTCAAAAGTTAGAACTAAATTCTAAATGAATAGTATCATGTGAAATTGCTGCGAAACAGGTTTCATAATACAATACAATACTTTATTCAAGAGATAAAAAAACAAAATATCTCCTCTCGAAAGGGTATGTCTAGAGGTTTTGAATGGTCACATCCCAGGGATGAAAAATGTAGAACTTGATACTAATTAAACAGTACCATATAAAAGTACTGCTGAAGAGGTTTCGGTTTGAGAGGTCACACCATAGGACTTCATCCACAGACTAAAAAGTTAGAAATACGTATTAAAAAATAGTACCATTTGAAATTACTGCTGAAGAGCTTTCATTTGAATGGTAACACCATAGGGTTTTCATCCACAGACTCAAAGGAGAAGTCGCAAACTAACAGAGAACAATCTTGCTTTGCAGGGCGTGGTCTTACTATAGTAGGTTCCATTTTGGAAGGAGATTTTAACGAAAGGGCTGAAGATGTAGCTTTAGCTAAAGAGGTAAAGGACAACTGTGAGTTTAGTTTAGGTGCTGCGCTTGTCGCGAATAATAACCGCAGCGATAAGTTCGAATCAATCTCGATGATACCTCTGAGGTCAGCCAGAGCGGTTGTTTTTGAGGTACTCTTAAGTTTAAGCTTTTAAAATGCATTTAGCTCTAGGCAGGTTTAGCTCACAAGGGTAGAATACTATTTGAAAGAAATCAAATTTTTAAAAATGTTTTTATGGTACATTTTTCCCTTCAGTGTATTCCTTTTAGTTTCAACACAAGGAGCCAGTAATTACAACGTTATAACTGACTAAGCTTTTACATTTGTCCAACCCTCACAACTAAACATGATTGTTTAGATTGTTTAAGGTTTTACATTTGTCCAACCCTCACAACTTAACATTATTGTAGTTGCTGTCACTGTGCTACATGTAACAGCGGCAAAAAAGGTTAGAGTCTACAAAACAGCTATGGATGCCTGAAAAGGCAGGCTTCGTGCATGCGTTCGCTGCGACGGTATGTTTTAGCCATCGTGGTTCATGTTTAATCTTACAGGTGTTAAAAGACTGCATGAAGGAAGAAAAAGTTAAAGGATTTATGAAGGTCTTAGTAGCTTCAACAGCTGCAGAGGGAATATCATTTTTGTGAGTCTTGATATTTTTTGTAGCTTACTGATTGAAGTGCAAGCCCTGTGGCTGGATTTATCACTGCCCAGTGGATAAGCATGCATATCACTGCGCTTTTCACAGACATGCGAACTATAAAGTTCAAAAGCCGCCTTCACAGTTGCGTTTTTCGCTGCCGTCAATCATAATTACGATCACAAGCAACGAACCTGGAAACACAGAAACACACAAAACGGATCAAAATCCACCAATCACAAATCACAAACGATGACCTTTTGAACCCGGTGAAGGAAAGTATTGTTTCCTAAGAGGTCCGTTAAGGTGACTGACGGCAGCGAAAAACGTAATCGTCAGTTGGCTTTTGAATTTCAGAATTCGCGTTTTTGAAAAGCGCAGTAACAAAACTAAACGTGTTTTGGATAATTAACGTTAAATGGATCTAACCAATAATGACTCGATTTAAGCACGCTGGCGAGTCGTCGACGTCACTCAAGTTAATATGCAAACAAACAAGGTGTTATTTTTATGGCTTAATCTTAGTTAACTATGGAACGTTTAGAAAAATGTCAATAATAGAAATGAAAATATTTATTACCTCACATTGCGCAAACTTCGATCCAACAATATTTTTCATAAGCGCATTTCATACATTTCTGGTACAAATTCTGGTTATACAAAAAAAAAATTGCGAGATAAGCGACAATTCTAGCGCGTAGTAATACGCAAGCTTAACAGTTGAGAAGTAGACCCCGCTTAAAGAACCCGAGTCAGGTCGTTAAACTCCTTTAGTATTTTGCTTGCGGGAGGATCTGGTGTT